CCTAAGAAATTTAAGCTGGAGAAACAGCGCGATTACTTTCTTGTTTTTGAAAGATCGCTGGGTGCTTTGTGGGACTGGTTTGGAGGGGGCAGGGCAAAAGCAGGAAGCAGGAAACAGGCTATTGCAAGAGATTACTGTGGTACGGACCAGAGGAAAAAGGGGAGGTCAGGGAGATTTTGGAGATGGTGTTAACAGAACTTTGGACAGGCTGGATGCAAAAGAGGAGGATAAAGGAGAATTCAAGGAGACGCTCCAATTTTTGACTTGAGCAACTGGATGGATGGTGGTGCCATTTCCTGGGTTGAGGGAGATTGGGTAGAACAGTGGAAGAACACAAATGTTTCATTCCAGATGCTGTCAGTTGGGATGCCTGTTAGCTATCCACTTGGAGTGGTCCAGTAGGCAGTCGAATATGTCAGTCTGGAGTTCAAAAGAGAGGTTTATCATATTCCTATAATGCTATTTACAGTCACAGGAATGATGCCATCCAGACCCAGACTGAGCCCTGAGAAACTTTAGAGATTGGGGCAAGAAAGAGGGACAAGCCAAGGAAATCGAGAAGGAGCAGCCAGAGAGGTAGAAGGGAACCCATGGGTGTGCTCTCACGGAGGCTGAGAGAAAAGAGCATTTCCAGAGGGGGCTGTGGCCAACTGGGTTGAATGCTTCCAAGAGGTTGAGAGGGGTGAAGACAGAAACGTGTTCAGTAGACTTGGCAGCAAGGAGCGTGCTAGTGACTTGACAAAAGCCATTTCTGTTGAGTGCAGGGAATGGAAGCCAGGTTGGAATGGGCTGGAGAGCGAAGGAAAGGTAAGGCGGTAAAGACAGCTGGTGTAGACACTTTCCAAGAAGTTCCTCTGTGAAGAGGAACAGAAAAGTAGGGTAGTAGATGAAGGAGGTATGAGGCCGAGAGGGTAGTTTTTGTTCCCATTGCCATTATTTTTAAGATGGGAGAGCCTGTTCATAGACAGGGAGAGGTTGATGGTGGTAGAGAAAGAAGATAACTAGAGATTGAGGTTGTTGGGAAGGCAAGAGCGGTCGGGGCCTGGACCCAGTGGAAGGCCTGGCCTCTGGTTCTGTTAAAGCAGGATGGAGGCAGAAGGCAGCCTATAGGTAGATTTGACGGTATATGATGGCTCCTATTTTCTCAGTGAAGACTGGGGAAAGTCATCAGCTGGGAGTATCATGGGGAGGAGTGTGGGGAGTTTGTGGAAAGAAGAGAAGGCATGAAATAGTTGTTCTCAAAAGGTGGAAATGTGAGACTACCAGAGAAACCTGCACTTATGGAGTAGAATTGAGGGCAAACCTGGAATTTGTAACCACAACGTCAGCATGAACTGGGCCAGGTCCTGCCTTTGCTCCAGCAACATCCAGCAGCTGACTCAGGAAGAGCACAGCTCGGGGCAGGCAGGCTGGGCTTTCCCCAGGTGAGCGGGTTGGAAGGAGAGAGAAGGCCCGAGCTGAGGGTATTTTCTCGGGAGGGATTATGATGATGACTCTTCTGAGGCTGGACGAGGAGAGACGTGAAGTCAGAGGAATTTGATGGGGAGGGAGAAAGTGCAAGGTCAAAGGACTGAGGGCTTGAAGAGACCCAAGGATTTCAGTAACCGGGCACTTGAGCTCGAGCTGAGAGGTGTGAGGTGGGGGAGGGGAGTGCTGGAAGTGCAGATATTAGAGGAGATACGCTTTCTGGTTCTGATTTAAGTGGAGTGCACTGAAAGGAGAAAGGGGCTAAGATGTAGCATCCCTCTAATTCATTCATTCATGCATTCATTCAGTCAATAACCTTTTATTCAGCATTAGGCACACTGGTGGCACAAAGGAGCGATTCACTCAGCCAGGGTGCCCAGGGAGGGCTTCCTGGAGGCAGTGGCTCTTGTGTAGGTTGAGTCTAGAAGGACAAATTAAAGCTCTCCAGAGAGACAAAAAGGAAGAGAGCTTCAGGAGAACAGACCATAAGCAAAGGCATGGCCATTTGTGAAAATGGAGGTAGTGTTGCCAGAGGGGGGATGCTCGTGGGAAGGCTGTGGACAGCAAGGTGGGGATCAGATCATGCAGGGCCTCGGGAGCCACATGGAGGAGCGTGGATGCACTAATAAGCAGTGGGGAGCCACTGAAGGATTAAGCAGGAAGGTGACATGATCAGATTTGTGATTTTAGAAATGTAGGTGGTGTGTTGGAGAGGAGCCCGGGGGGATGTAGGGAAGCAGGTGGGAGGTTATTGGAGTCGAGCGGGGGAGGCGTGATAAAGCAGCAATAGCCTGGAGGATGGAGAGGTGTGTGAGTGCTGGGAAGGAGCGTCGGCAGGGCTTGGGAACTGACCAGGTGTACCACCAGGGTGCTTTCGGCATCCACCAACCAAAACTGTGCCTCAACTGGCCTAGCCAAGGAGGACGTTTTCCCCTCACATAACAAGACATCCAGACATGAAGTGGCTTCAGGGTTGATGAAGAGAGTAAGAGGAGAGGAATTTAGGTGAAGTGCAAATTTTGAAGAGAGAGATGAGTTCATTTGGGACCAGCTGGGGGACAGCACGAGGATATGGCAAGCTGGCTGTGCCGTCTGTGGGTCTGGAGCTCAGGGGAGAGCTCAGGGACGAGATGTGGGGGCCATGCAGCAGTCTTTAAGTAGACATGTGCCAATGTGCCAGGCACCGGATTCAGTGGTGACCCCCAAACCCTGGGCTGTGAGGAGTCTGGTGGGGGCACAGACACCAGGAGACAATCACACAAGCAGTGTATGAATTACCATTGACCTAAGAGCTTTGAAGGCCGTGGCTGTGCACGAAAGGGAGCCGTGACTTGACTGGTCTGGGGCCATCGGGGAAGTGAGAATAGATGTGGCAAAGCTGTAGAGACCACAGCAAGGAGGTGGGTAGTGATTCTTTCCATGGCAGAAGAGAAGGACGCAAGGGGAGAAGTGCTGCTGTAAAAAGGGGCTGCAGGGGCGGGCCCGGTAGCACAGTGGTTAAGTTTGCACATTCCGCTTCGGTGGCCCGGGGTCCACTGGTTTGGATCCCGGGTGCGGACATGGCACCACTTGGCAAGTCATGCTGTGGCAGGCGTCCCATATATAAAGTAGAGGACGATGGGCATGGATGTTAGCTCAGGGCCAGTCTTCCTCAGCGAAAAGAGGAGCATTGGCAGCAGATGTCAGCTCAGGGCTAATTGTCCTCAAAAAAAAAAAAGGGTGGGGGGCTGCAGACCAGGCAGGAAGGAGGACTCAGAGCAGAGACGGAAAGAGTGGCCAGAGGGGCAGGCCACGTTCTTCTCTCAAGAAGAAAGGCAGTGGCATTGTGAGATGCTTGAGGGAGGGCCAGGAGGGCCGGCTGAGAAGAAACCACTGGGTCTGTCCACTGGGGGCCTCTGGCGACTTGAGTGAGCACAGTTTCCACGAGCACTGGGGCTGGAGCCAGGCTGTTCATCTCTGGCTTTCTGTGGTCCTTGGGCTCCTGTGAAGGGAAGAATGGGCATTTCAGGTCAGGGGATTTGCCAAGTGGGGCCTGTGAACTGGGAGGGTGCCCAGCAGCAGGGTCCCTCCAGGGCCGTCTGGCAGGTCAGCGTCTTCTGTATGGGTGCGTCCATGGGATCGGTGATGGAGATGAAGGGGGCAAGGTGTGTGACAAGTGGTAGGGTACAACTGTGGGGTCTGCATGAAGGGTGGTTTCAGGGTGGGTGTGCACGCCTGTGTGTGTGTAAATGTGTGGGCTCGCGCACACACACTCCCATGCACGCTATGGGGCCAATGAGCAGCTGAGGGACGGGGTCAGCAGGAATGAGCAGAGTCATCCCCGTGGAAACACGACTCCCTGGGTGATGGTAGAGAGCAGCTGGGCAGCCAGGCATAGGGGGCGTGGCCAGCTTTGCCCAATGGCTCCAGGCTCTCCCTGGGCCACCCTCCCCAGCTGTTGACCAAGCCTGAAGAAGTGTCCACACTGGCTGGGGCAGGGACACTCCTTGGGTGTCTGCGCCCGCTGTGAGAGAGCTGCCCTCCAGTGTGGCTCTGGGTGTCTCGGGGGAGTCTGTCCCAGCCCCTGTGGTGGAGGAGTGGCTCTGGGGGCTCTGTCCGTGTGGGACTTGTGGTGGCTGTGTGTGACTGGGCTGCAGTGGTCACCCTGTGTCTGCTTGCTGATGCAGGTCATTCCCCAGGGCCTTTGTGATAAGTGACCCTCTGCCTCCCTTCCACAGGGAATAGGCTCAGGAGGGCTGGGCAGGAGCGGGGAGGCACCAGGAGAGGCCGAGGGACTGGCCCCGGAAACACAGTCCACATAATTCTCTACGGCTCCTGGTGGGTGCCCCTTTATCCACCCAGTTCATGCAGGGACCACCAGCCACAAACAGTCCCTGGGAGCTCTAGTCCTGCCTCCCCACCCCGACGTTGAAACTGTCCTCCTTGTCCCCATGACCTTTCCTGTGTCCTACTCTTCCACATTTGCCTGCAGGCTCTCCTGATGTGGACCCACGCACACAACTTGCATCTTCCTGCTCCAGCTCCCCCTGCCTGCCAAGTGGGTTAGATTCCACAGATCCCTTGGGTGGGAGCTGTTGGGACCTTCTGCAGGGCCCAAGGTCCTTCCTTCTTCCCTCTCCCAGCCCAACATCAAGTTTCCCCAGAGCTCAGGACAGCGCACTCCATACCACACATCTTCCTTTTCCCTTCCCTCCAGGCCACAGATGGCAAATACAGGCAGATGCACCATATTCTCCTTTCTCATGCCCCTGGCAGACATCACTAATCAATCACAGCAGTCTTTCTGCACTGAGTCTGGCTGCAACCTCGATGGTCTTTGCCCACATCTCCAGGCAGCGAATAGCAGCCGAACAAAGTCAGTCCACAAGTTGAAATCCATTTGCCATTCCTGCTTTAGGCTGATCCCACCAGGCCCCTCTTCTTGACCCATCCACTGGGTACCCCTGCACGTTTCACATCTGACTCCTTTCTACCTCACTGTGGGATAGAGGCCATATGGGCATAGCCAGCTGTGGTTCTCTCTGTTCCCGTAGGCTGAAGCCACACAGTTGCCGGAGCTTGGGCCCAGGAGGCGGTTGAGAGCACTGGGGCATTGGGCCCACATCCCTAAGGCTGAAGAGGATCTGGTTGGTTTGCTGTCAGTCCTGAGGGCAGCCAACCCCTTGCTGGGGAGAGTGTGGTGCAGGGCTCAGGGGTGATGCTCTTGTGTCCAGCACCTGTGCAGCAGCAGCGCCTGGGCCTTGCAGGCACATCTCCTAATCCAACAGGGCCTGCACGCCCACCACCCCAGCCTGGCCCCTGGGCAGGCGGGAGGTGAGTAGCAGACAGCAGGCCCCAGCACCCCAGGGACTGCGCACTGCAGCTGCCCCAGCTTCCCGCCACCCTCCTGGCCTGTGAGCCCAGGATGCAAGGATGGCCAACTCGTCTCTGCCCACTCTGGTGCCTCTGGGCCCTGAGAGCCTGCGCCCCTTCACCCGGGAGTCCCTGGCAGCCATAGAACGGCGGGCGTTGGAGGAGGAAGCCCGGCTGCAGCGGAACAAGCAGATGGAGATCCAGGAGACTGAGCGGAAGCCGCGCAGTGATCTGGAGGCTGGCAAGAACCTGCCTCTCATCTATGGGGACCCTCCACCAGAGGTCATCGGCATCCCTCTGGAGGATCTGGACCCCTACTACAGCAACAAGAAGGTCCGGGCCTCGGGGGGTTCTCTCTACCTGTCTGTCCGTTGTTCATCTGTCTGCCTGGCCCTAGGCCTCACAGCTCTCTTCCTGCCTCAGACCTTCATCGTGCTCAACAAGGGCAAGGCCATCTTCCGCTTCTCCGCTACACCTGCTCTCTACATGCTGAGTCCCTTCAGCATCATCAGACGCAGCGCCATCAAGGTGCTCATCCACTCATATCCTGCCTGAGTGGAGTGAGCGCAGCAATGGGGAGAGACAGGGAGGGGTTAGGGATGGGCAAAATGGGGTGCTCTGGGTGAGGAGGCCCTCTATCCACCTCCCCTTCCCACCTGCTCCCTCACTTTCCTTGACCCTCCCCCCAACGCTGTTCAGCATGTTCATCATGATCACCATCTTGACCAACTGCGTGTTCATGACCATGAGTGACCCGCCTCCCTGGTCCAAACATGTGGAGTAAGTCTCCCCCTCCCCTGAGCCCCCCAGTCCTGGAACACAGCCCACCCCAGTTGTCTGCACTCTTGAGGATGCTCAGAGTGACAGTGCTTTTGTCTTCCAGGGAGACACACTGTCACTGTCACCCTCATTGACACTCAAAGCCCCCTGGGGTGGTGCACACTGTCACTCTCACCAATGTCCTCAGACCTCTGGGTGGCATATTTCATTTCTGTGACCCTCCCTCCTGGGAGATCCATCATTACCACTCATACCCCTTCCTGGGTGTGACATGCCTGGTGCTGGCCGGCCCTCTCCCCACCAGGTACACCTTCACAGGAATCTACACCTTTGAATCCCTCATCAAGATGCTGGCCCGAGGCTTCTGCATCGACGATTTCACATTCCTCCGGGATCCCTGGAACTGGCTGGACTTCAGTGTCATCATGATGGCGTGAGCAGGGCCCTGAAGGCATCCTGAGGCTGGGGTGGGTGAGGGGAGGAGGCCAGGCCTCAAGAGGGCAGCTGAGTGGGCTGACCCTCTCAGAGGAGTAGGCTGCAGGGGCTTCAGGTCAGGGGTACAGACAGCGAGCTGCACAATTCTTGGAGCTGCCATTCTCAGGGTGTGGCTTGGAGGCTCTCCCAATGCCCCTCCACACACCATGTACAGCCACACCCAGCAGCCCCAGGCCCACAGGGCCTCATCTGCTGGGAGAACTGGGCTACCCTCACCACCCCACTCCCCAGCAAAGTTCCTAGATTGTCTTTCCCAATTCTCAGGCCCCAGTAGGTACACTGGGGGGTGCCTGACCTGCCCCTCAGCCTCCTGTGGGAACCTCAACTACAAGGATTCCTTGGGAATCCTCATTCTGGGCCTGGAGAAGCCCCAATTTTTGCCCTATGATCTACCCCCTTCTCTGACACAGCCCTCACCCCAATCCCACCCACCTGCAGGTACCTGACAGAGTTTGTGGACTTGGGCAACATCTCAGCCCTGAGAACCTTCCGGGTGCTGCGGGCCCTGAAAACCATCACGGTCATCCCAGGTACTGGTGGGGCAGGGACCCTCTGTGCAGGCCAGCAGGCTTCCCCCCATGCTCAGGCCTGGAACCTGACACTCAAGTTCCAGGAGCCTGACCCAGGGTCACAACACTCCCAGGCTGTGTTTGTGTAGGACCCACGCCAAAGCCTGGACACGGAGGGGGCCCCATGACCACAGAGGAGAAGGGGCCCCATGTGGGAGGATGGGCAGGACATAAGGTGGTTAGAGCACAGACTCTGGAGTCAGACTGCCCGGGTTCAATTCTCACCTCCACCACTTCCTAACTCTGACCTTGTGCAAGTAGCTTAACCTGTCTATGCCTTGGTTTCCTTATCTGTAAATGTGGATAATAACAGTACCGCTCGTTGGGTTGTTATGAGGATTAAATGCCTTAATATCAATAACACGCCTAGAATACTGCCTGGCACGTGCTATGTGTGTTAAATAAAATAAGCAGGCCAGGCAGAGCAGAGACTCCCCCTGAGAGCGACACAAAGGGAATCAGTGATGGAAAGTCCCATCCCTGAGGGCTCAGTAAGGAACATGCCGCACACCCACTGAGCAGCAAGGCCAGGGCCATCCCAAAGTAACGTATCAGGAAGCATGAAGTAAATAGAATCTGGATCATCCAGACCCTCAAAAAAGCATGTGGAGAAACTGGAGATGGTTCATTAAAGGAGAGAAAGATGATCTGAAAAGGGATGGAGAACAGGCTCTGGGGGAGGAGAAAGTTGTTCCGTCTTCTTGCTAGAAAGCCTCCTAGTTCTCTTCTAGTCCAAAGTCCTCATATCACAGCTGAGAAGAGAGACTCAGAGAGACCTGAGAGGGCAGTGCTCACCAAGGCCACTGCACTTTGGCCATTGAGTCAAGACCAAAACACCTTTCCTCGAAGCCATGCTTCCAGCATCCTCGGAGCTTGGGAGGGTTTTTTATAAGGAGGCTGCTGAGCGTCTGTTTTCCATATCAAGATAAGAAAAGCAAATGAACTAATGTTGAAGTGAGAGACGCTATGATTAGGCCCAAGGAAGAAGTTGTAGCTCTTCCATAAATGATGGGAATCCGTCCCTGGAATTCCACAGAGTTCTTTATGCCTTTGTCGGTCCAAAGGGGCAGAATGCAATGACATTGCAAAGTCAGTCTAGAGCTCCTCAGAGTGAACCTGCTGTTCCTTGGGTGTTAACAGGCATTATAAGAAAAAGGGTTCCGTGGTCAAATAAGTTAAGGAACCATGCTATTAAAGTCTCTGCTTCTGTAGGACTTTTCAGAGCCTTTGATAGGATAACCGACCTGACTACTCTCCAAGAACAGAACACAGAGCCGAGTCTTTCCCAAACATTATTGGACCCGTTTTCCTAAGGGCACAGCTAGGGAGATAGTGTTCAGTAGAACACACCTTGGGAGTGCTGACCCGGCGGCACTTATTAAGCTCCACTGTGTGTGCCTGTGTGTTGCTCTGAGTCAGGCAACAGCCCATGAAGTCTTTATAGTCCATTCTTCTAGTGGCCGAGACTCTGTGGCCCTTCGAAGGCTCCGGATTGAGGATGTGATGAGAGAAGGGTGGCTTCTCTGATTTGGGAAGGCTTCAGGGAAGTGGTGCCCCCAATAAGTTAAGCTTTGAAGGAGATGGAGCAGGCAAAGTTTTGGGGGCTGGGGGTGTGTTACCACCCTGCCCTGCCTGCCCCCACACTCCCGCCCGCCATGGTCAGGGCTGAAGACGATTGTGGGGGCCCTGATCCAGTCGGTGAAGAAGCTGTCAGATGTGATGATCCTCACCGTCTTCTGCCTGAGTGTCTTTGCCCTGGTGGGGCTGCAGCTCTTTATGGGAAACCTGCGGCAGAAGTGTGTGCGCTGGCCCCAGCCCTTCAACGACACCAATACCACCTGGTACGGCAATGACACCTGGTACAGCAATGACACGTGGAACAGCAATGACACGTGGAGCAGCAATGACATGTGGAACAGCCATGAGAGCATGGCCAGCAACTATACCTTTGACTGGGATGCCTACATCAATGATGAAGGTAAGAATGGAGGGTGGGGAGGCATGGGGCCTGTACCAGCCCCTAGGGCAGCCCCTTGTGAGAAAAATAGCCTGGGCGGGACCTGAGCTTAAATCCATCACTTACCAGCTTTGGTGACCTCTGACAAGTCAGCTGATCTCCCTGACCCTCAGAATTCTCACCCGTAAAACTGAGAAAACAGTACCTTTCTTAAAGGGTTAGTGTGACCACAAATGCCAAATTGCTTTGAAAATCCTGAAGCTTTCACTATAAGAAGCAATGGTCCAAGCCTATTCCCTAACCTGCATACTCCTTGTTCCCCTCCATCACACTATGTGCTCACACCCTGGCAGGACCACCACCAGGTACCCGCGTACCCACATCCTATTCATATACCCACACTTCACAGGCACACGCACGCAAGACACATGTTCTCATATTGCCACTTTAGCCCACATAGTGCCTTCTGGCAAATTAGAAAAATGTACCGCTTCTTCCCCCTGGCCCCTGGATTCTAGCCCCTACTCACCCCTCAGTCAGGGGTCCTGCGCAGGTACATGGTAGCCCCATGCATACACATACATGTTCTGCCCATCTCGAGTGTACAGCCTCACTAGGCACTGAGCTCACACAACTTGAGCCGAGCTCCCTGCAATGTATATACCCAGAGACCTTGGAACTTTGGGCTGCCCTTAAAGGAGGAGGACGGGGCACTCAGAGAACATCCATTTGGTGTATGTGGCCCACACAGATGTGTCTATAGGTGTGCAATGGGTGCATGGGCCCACGGTGTGTCCATGTGGGTTGACATGTTTCCTTTGTGGCCTCTGACTCTCAAAGGGAACTTCTACTTCCTGGAGGGTGCCAAGGATGCCCTGCTCTGTGGGAACAGCAGTGATGCTGGGTGAGTGATGCTGGGGGATGGAAAAAGGTGCCCCGGGGGTATCAGAAGATAGGGGCTGATTAGGGACAAGGCCCTGGGGTAGATGGGAATGTAAGGAAAACCCATGGGCATAGATGGAACACTTTCCTGTTTTCGGGACACAGACAAGACAGAAGGATTTTTTTTCCCTTGGGGTCCCTCCATCTGTCCCCCAGCTGGAGGTATCTCTCCCTAAAACCAGCACCCATCCTATCCTCAGGCACTGCCCCGAGGGTTACAAGTGCATCAAGACTGGGCGGAACCCCAACTACGGCTACACCAGTTACGACACCTTCAGCTGGGCCTTCCTGGCTCTCTTCCGCCTCATGACACAGGACTATTGGGAGAACCTCTTCCAGCTGGTACAGCTGCCCACCCCTTGCCCCTCAGCCCTACAACCATTTCCCTCCATCTTCCAGCCTCTTTAGTGCCTGCGGGCCGCCCACCAGGGCCATCTCCTCCATGGGACCCCCTCAGTGCCCTACGTGTGGTTCTTGGAGCACTCTGACACTGGGCACTTGCCCAGATCTGAGCCACAGACTTCTCTTCCTTCTCCACCTTTGCCTTAAGATCTGAGATCTGGGCCTGGCACACCCTCCCCAGGCCTCATGGTAACCAGGAGGGCAGCTCAGAAATTCAACTCTGCCCATACTCAGTTATTTAGCTTCTACTGTTTGCAGGGCAGACAGGTTGAGAGTGGAGCGACAGTGCCTTCTGGTCCCTGGTGGTGTTTCTAATACTGACGATGTTAATAATAATAATAATAACGATAATAGTAGTAGTGTAGTGGTAACTACTATGTGTTGAGCTCTTACTAGATGCCAGGCACTGTAGTAAAGCTAAGAGTCCAGCCGACCCCAAAGCCCATATTCGCCATTTTTTTATCCTGGCTGTCTGATCTCAGGATGTTAGGCTGGGGTCCTCAGGGCTCTCTGAGCCAAGAGACCAGGAAAGTCTGGGTCCCAAGGATATATTATAAAGCTTCCCAGAATGTGGCTTCAAGTGCCAAGGATGGCCATACTCGGCCTCAAAGGTCCTCAAAACACCAGGCTCTGTGAGGGACCCTCTCTGTTGACCTATTTGGACAATGAGTATGTGGGGGGCGGGGAAGGAGTCCAGGTGCCATGTGACACTTCCTCTCCTTCTCCCCCAACTCCCAGACCCTTCGAGCAGCCGGCAAGACCTACATGATCTTCTTTGTGGTGATCATTTTCCTGGGCTCCTTCTACCTCATCAATCTGATCCTGGCAGTGGTAGCCATGGCGTACGCGGAGCAGAATGAGGCCACCCTGGCTGAGGATCAGGAGAAAGAAGAGGAGTTTCAGCAGATGATGGAGAAATTCAAAAAGCAGCAGGAGGAGCTGGAGAAGGTCTGGACTCAGGGAGCAGAGGCGAAGGATTCAGGGATCTCCCTGCCCCTCAGCCTGGGTTCTCCTGGGCAGGCTGAGGGTGAGGGAGATGCATGGGGTAGAGATGAGAGGCACGGGGAGCTGAATGCCCCAGGCTGGGGCCTTTGGTGGGATGGGAGGCATCCAAGCAGTAGAAAGAGTATTTTGCAGCTCTGTGCCTCAGTTTCCCCATATGTAACAAGGACTCCAGAGTAGTTAAACCTGAAGTAGCCTTCCAGCTCAAATATCTGTGGTTTTAAGATTCTTTCTGGGCAGCACATGGGTCCATGTTGAGGGAGAGGCGGGTCCCCACGAGGCCCCAGGGAGCAGCTGCCCATTTTCTCATCATCTCATAAAGCACAAGGTCAGTCAGGGCTTCAGAAAGTAGAGGTTCTTCAGGGATGAGGGTCGTCAGTCACTTTGGTTCCTTCCCTGTCACCCCCACCACCAGCGAAGTTGCTCCTTCCGCTAGGCTCAGTGCAGGCCAAGAAGGGGCCCCGTACTAAAGGACACAGGAGGAAGCTCTAAGAGTTCATTAGTCCATTCCCGTGGCTTGGAGATGGACTTCACGCCCATCACCCTTGCTGGTCCCACAGGCCAAGGCTGATCAGGCTTTGGAAGGTGGGGAGGCAGGCGGGGACCCAGCCCACAGCAAAGACTGTAACGGCAGCCTGGACACATCACCAGGGGAGAAGGGGCCCCCAAGGCAGAGCTGCAGCGCAGACAGCGGCGTCTCAGATGCTATGGAAGGTGAGTGCCGACACCTCCATACCCACCCTACTCTGCCTGTCCCGCCCATCAGGCCACGCAGGCTCCTGCAGGGCGGGGAGGGACCTGGCGGGGCTTCGGGAGGACAGTAACTTAATATTGGCATCGAAGAAATGGTTGTGATAAATATAGCCCTAGCTTAACCTGGCCCAGTTCTGGCTGCAAGGCAGGGCTGCTGTGGGAACTGGGGGCTTCCGGGAGGGCCCTGGGGGCTGCCAAGGCAACAAGGAAGGACCGGAAAATAATATTAACCAGAAAGGCCTAATCTTCCGGAAACTGGAGATCTGACTCCTCAGATGTCTTCTGGGTAAAAGTGAAAGGTTAAAGGTCAACCTCTGCCCAGGTAGAGTCACAGACTCTCCCAAATCCCCGTACTACCTCTGAGTCACAGGAGGAGAATAAGGATGAGGTAATGAGGGGAGGTGGACAGACACACACACGGATGGATGGATGGATGGATGGGTTGAAAAGTTATTGGATGGAAAGGGGCCGAGGGGTGTATGGATGGATGGATGAGGGGGAGGGAGGAAGAAAGGAAATCTGACATAGAAGAGATCTGGTCCCCTCCCCAGGCGTCCTGCCTCATGCCAGGGAGGACTTGGAGACCCTAGAGGACTTTGCAAACCTCTGGAGGGCACCTTGTATGACCAGCATCCAGGTGTCTGTGTGCCTATCCAGAGAATGCCCCAGGGAATGACGGACAGAGCTGGCGGAAGAGGTCACTCAGCGCTGCCCTTGCTGGGACCGTTGTGAGAAGTTTGGGACCTCAGACACTGTTTGAGTCACCTGCAGTAGCACCGGGTTGAGGCTGGGGGTGTTAGAGTAGAATCTGCAGCCTTTGAGTGGGGTCCAGTTTGCTAATTCCTGGGTGGCAGTGAGGGTCAACCTCCCCCACCCCTGGGGTGTCCCAATCATGCACTCAAACTCAGTCCTTCATGGAGCTGTTCCCCACTCCAGCCCCTTTCCTCATCTATGCGATGGGGACTCTGAGAGTACTTACCTCATACCTTTCTGGTGGTAATTGAATGAGATCATGCCTAGGCTGAGGACTCCCACAGGCAGCAGAGGCCAGGAAGGCCAGGAGGAGCAGCTTCATCCACGGGCCTTACAGACCCCAGGGCTTTAGAGTTGGGGTAGCAAAAACAGGGAGTGTTTCCAGAAAGCCACTCTGGTGGGAAAGGATGGACTGGCTGGGGACAGTCTGGAGGGGCTGGCATTACTGGCAGTGGGAGGAAGAACCCTCGGGGGGATCTCAGTCTGCTCCCACATGGCAGTGGCCAGCAGCAGGGAGAACTGAGACCAACCCCCTGCGTGGCCTCTTGCCTCTCCCTGGGGACATGATGGCGGCCACGGGTCACCAGCAGGGGTGGGAGTCACTGAGGGCAAGGCTCTATGGGGTGTGTCAGGAAGGCGGAGCTGGAAGTGGAGCATCGAGAGAAAGGGCTTGGGGTAAATCTCCCTGAGGGGGTGGGCTTTGGCGGGTGAGAGCACTAAGGGGCAGGGGTGGTAGGGGCGGGGCATTGAGGGGTGGAGTCACCTGGGCGGGGACTGGAGGGAGCCGCACTGAGAGGCGGGGCTTGGAATAGTCCTTGCTGAGGGGATAGAGTTTGAGATGTGGAGCACTAAGGGACAGAGCTTGAAAAGTGGGACCAGAGATCTAGATGGAGAAAGGAGCGTGTGAGGGGGATCCTCATCAGGTGTCTGTTTCCACCCTACTCCCAGAGCTGGAAGAGGCCCACCAGAAGTGCCCGCCATGGTGGTACAAGTGTGCCCACAAAGTGCTCATATGGAACTGCTGCACCCCATGGGTGAAGTTCAAGAACATCATCCACTTGATCGTCATGGATCCCTTTGTGGACCTGGGCATCACCATCTGCATCGTACTCAACACCCTCTTCATGGCCATGGAACATTACCCCATGACGGAGCACTTTGACAAAGTGCTCACCGTGGGCAACCTGGTAGGGAGGGGACAAGAGACAGGTGTCATTCCAGGACAGCACAAGAGAGGGGCCACAGGGCCTGATGGAGTCATCTGGGCTGTGTGGAAATGCAGGACACTATTGGGGGACATATGGGGACAGGCTGCGGTTATTTACCCAGCGCATGGGGGGAATGGTTGATTTGTAAGGGAGGTGCATGGGTTGATCTATGAGATGTGGATCTGAGTTTCAGCATATTGGAGGGCAGAGAGAGTGGGGATGAGGTGCTGGGCTTCTTAAGATCAGGACTCCTAGGAGTCTGGGATCCAGGTCATGCCCTGGAGGCAAGGTTGGGGAGTCGGGGCATGGAGGTAGAGGTGAGGGTGGCTGGGTGACAAATCTCTCCACTTTCAGAGGTTGTTGTGGGCCTAAGAGGGACCAAGGCACTGGAAGTGGAGCACAGAACCAGGGGCACCCAGGCCCAAGAGGCCCCAGCTCACCCTAGAGGCCCCAGGGCATATCCCCCACCCCTCGGCCCCGCTGCCTGCTACCATTTCTCCAGCATGGCCAGGCCAGCTCCTCTCTCTGGCCCTTCCTGCTCCACTATTGTTGACACACACTGATCCGCCTGCTTATCCCTGCCCATTAGGAGCATTATCACCTCGTTGCCAGCCCTGGTGGAGCCTGACAAAGGGAAAAAGCCGCCTCCTCCTGCAGCCCTGCCCCACCCTTTCCAATTCCCTTCACAGTTTTTCCAGGAAAATGGGCGAGATGCTACCCCTACTCCAAGGGTGAGGGGAGCCCAGGGAGAGTAAGATTTGGGGCCTGCAGTAGGACAAGGACTGGGTGGGTGGCATGGGAATCAGACCCTGGATTCAGCCTGCAAGGAAGGCAGCTCCTCTGTCCCATGGAGATGCCCGAGGCAGCCGTGGCCAGGCTGGGCTGGAGGGGCAAGGGTGTGATCTGGACTCGCAGCACAGCTGCTGGGGTGTGCGTGATGGGCCCGGCCCGCCGCCTGCCCACCCCCTGCCCACACGCTGATGCTGTCTGGGCACCTGCTATCGCTAGGGACAGCTCCTGGGCGGGGCGCAGCATGTGCCTGGGCAGGCTGTGGACCCATGGCAGCTGGTGCCTAGCAGGAGGGGAGGCCATGCCCAGGGAGCGTTCAGAGGTTATACAGCCCTCACACTCCACGTCTGGGGTTGCAGGGTGCAACTCTGGCCTTCTCATTGATCGCCAACTTTGCCCTCTTTTGGCCCCTGCCCTAGACTTTTGAGTCCACCAAGATTTTCTGAGTCCTAGGACCCCTGCTAACCAGGGTAGAGAGGCTGTAGGGTATAGAGACAGGAGGCTGAACTAAGTACCACAAGACCTGGGTTTGAGACCTGACTCATTCCCATATGGGCGGCATGACCGAGAGCTTACCACTAACCTCTCTGAGCCTCAATTTTTCATCTCTGGGACAAGTGTGATAATCCCTCCCAATTTCATAAAGGTCAGGACACCACTGAAGTCATAATGTGAACCACAGAGAGTTTTATGAGTGTTGAATATTGTTATGATTGAGGTGAGGCTCCAAGAAGTTAAGTGATTGGCCCATGGTCACAAGGCCAGAAACGGATGGGTCCGGGTGTCTGGATGGCACCCACTCTGCCCTGTGGCATGGCCATTCCACTTCTCACTCACTCACATACACACACATGTGGGCTATGGGTACCTGCCTACCCTCCCTGGGGCTCTGGGCGCAACCTCTAGGGCTCCATGGGCTCTGCCAGGAGGAGGTGAGAGTCGAGTGGGAGACTCCCAAGGCCCTGTGCTCCCTGAGGCTCTGTGACCGGGATGCATCCCACCCTACAGGTCTTCACGGGCATCTTCACAGCCGAGATGGTACTGAAGCTCATCGCCTTGGACCCCTACGAGTACTTCCAGCAGGGCTGGAACGTCTTTGACAGTATCATCGTCACCCTCAGCTTGGTGGAACTGGGCCTGGCTAATGTGCAGGGGCTGTCTGTGCTCCGCTCCTTCCGTCTGGTGCGTGAGGCCCCAGGGCCAGGGCTGAGGAGGGGTGGGCTGGGGGTACTAAGGAGGGTGGGAGGAGAAACCCCTAGGAAGCCACAGGGCCGAAACAGGCCCCTCTGCCCTGTGCATGCCACTCCACCTCTCAGAACTTTCTTACTACACATAGGGAGAGAGGGGGCCCTCCCGCTCAATCATACAGGGCTGCTTGGGGGCCAAAATGACAGCCACAGGAGCTGACATTTGGACTTGACCCCCGAATGACCTTGGGCAGCAGTGGAGCGGGGACTTCGGCCCCATGTTGCAGACTCGAAGCTGAGGCTCAGGAAGCTCATTAGTAGTGGAAATGGGACTCTGAATTACTGTCCTTTCCACCACCCCATAGGAGCACTTTTATAATTTTTTAAACTTTATTATGGGACCTTTCATGCATCCACAAAAGTGTAAAGCGTAATCAACCTCCATGTACTTATTACCCAGCCCCAACAACCATCAACATTCTACAGTTTTTGTTTCATCTGTACTCCCACTTTTTATGGGAGGTATATACATACCTACAACATACAATGTCACTTGTAAATAATTTAGTCTGTATCTTTAAGAGATAAGGACTCTCTTTCTTTTGAACATGAAGAGGATGAGGTAGTAGGATATGAGTATAGTAGTCCCCCCTTATCTGTGGTTTTGCTTTCCACAGTTTCAGTTACCTGCAGTCAACCATGGTGCTACCATGGAAAACTTCTAGAAATAAACAATTCATAAGTTTTAAATTGTACGCTGTTCTGAGTAGCATGATGAAATCTCTCGCCATCCCATACCATCCTGCCCGGGACGTGAATCCTCCCTTTGTTCAGCATAACCACCACCTAGCTGTGTACGCTACCCGCCCATTTGTCACTTAGTAGCCATCAGTTACCAGATGGACTGTCTTGGTATCACAGTGCTTGTGTTCAAGTAACCCTTATTTTACTTAATAATGGCCCCAAAGCGCAAGAGGAGTGATGCTGGCAATTCAGATATGCCAAAGAGAAGCCGTAAAGTGCTTCCTTTAAGTGAAAAGGTGAAAGTTCTCAACCTAATAAAGAAAGAAAAAAAATCATATGCTGAGGTTGCTAAGATCTACGGTAACTTTTATTACAGTATATTGTTGTAATTCTATTTTATTAGTAGCTATTGTTGTTAATCTCTTACTGTGACTAATTTATAAATTTAACTTTACCGTATGTATGTATAGGAAAAAACATAGTATATATATAGGGTTCAGTACTGTCCACAGTTTTAGGCAGCCACTGGGAGTCTTGGAACATATCACCTGAGGATAATGAGGGACTGCTGTATTCCCATTTAACAGAGAGGCGAACTGAGGTGTCAGATCTCTCAGGAGATGGGAGTTCAAGCTATTCAAGATAGTTCTTTCTCCTATGCATGGGGCTCCCTTGGGTAGGGCCAGGGCTCCCTGGGCCTCATTTGCCCCTGCCTCCCCTCTGCATGGCAGCTGCGGGTCTTCAAGCTGGCCAAGTCGTGGCCAACACTGAACATGCTCATCAAGATCATCGGCAACTCGGTGGGGGCGCTGGGCAACCTGACGCTGGTGCTGGCCATCATCGTGTTCATCTTTGCCGTCGTGGGCATGCAGCTGTTCGGCAAGAGCTACAAGGATTGTGTGTGCAAGATTGCCTCGGACTGCGCCCTGCCCCGCTGGCACATGCACGACTTCTTCCACTCTTTCCTCATCGTCTTCCGCATCCTGTGTGGGGAGTGGATCGAGACCATGTGGGACTGCATGGAGGTGGCTGGCCAGGCCATGTGCCTTACCGTCTTCCTCATGGTCATGGTCATCGGCAACCTGGTGGTGAGTGAGGCTGCAGGTGGCTCCCCATCCTTGCCCAGAAAACCTAAGCATACAAGACATGTCCTTTAAAATGAGGCAGTCATTTGAGGGCCTGTTTCCTGTGAGGTTGAACTGTATGAAATCATTGATACTTGACTGTTGCCTACCTTTCCCTCCCTCAAAAAGACAATTTTATATGGTTTAGCCCAGTGGTCCTAAAATTTTAACCTGCTTAAGAATCACCTGGGAGTTTCTTAAAACCTAGATTCCTGGACCCAGACCCCCAGAGTCTGACTCAGCAGGTCCAGACTGGGGCCTGGTAATCTGCATTTCTAACGAGCTCTGGGAGATGTCACTGCCACTGGTCCCAGGAACACACTGTTAGTAGTACCGTTGAAACCTAGTGTTTCGGGTAAAGTAACATGATAACTGGAGTCAGACAGATCCACGTTCCAATCCCAGCTCCTTTGCCATCTGTGTGACCTTGAACAAATGACTGCTCTCTGGTCGGCTGGTTCTCTAACTTCATACAGAAGAAGTGTGGTAGGAACCTCTAGGGTGGCTGGGTGGATTGACTGTGAGAGTGTGCAAGGAGGCACAGTGTGGGATTGGTACCAGGAACTCCTGAACCTCTTGTCCTTCTCCCACCCTCTCACCCTCCTCTGTTCCTGGGAATCAGGCCCTGGGGGTTGGGAGCATCCAGAGACAGCATAACCTGCATCCATCCTGACACTTTCTGTGGCTCAGAGCTTGGCACGTGGGACTGGTGCAAGGGAGGAGATGCAGGGGCCGATGAGAAACAGGGGCTTGGGCCGTGGTCCAGCTGACCAGCATTTCTGTGGTTCAGGCCTGTGGAGGCATCTCTCCTCACCCTGCCGACCCCGACTCCTCCCCTTCTTGGGATGGGGTTCACTCCTGCCAGGAGTGCTGTGCCCAGCTGTCCCGGGTGGTGACCGATGCTGCCCTGGGCAATGGGGTGGGAAGACTCACGTCCCCACGTTCTGCAAAGGCCTGTGGAATCCTTGGGCTGCTGGGTCAGCAGTTCTCAGATATCGCTGAGCTCCAGCTGGGGGCAGGGGCAGACTGGGGCGCGGGGGGCGCAGTGTCACCTCGACTGAGGAGGAGACCATAGGATGAAGTCCCGAGCACCCAGGGACAGCTAGACAGGAGAACCCAGGGATGGCTGTACCTGGGAGGAGGTCTTGGGAAGTGGGAAGAGAGAGGGAAGACTCTCAGCAGAACTTTGGGGCAGGATGGGGGTAGGGGGTAGGCTCTGAGTAGCAGTTTGTGAATGTAAGTTTAAGGGCCTGTGGGTGACTGAGAGGGTCTGCAAGGGGTTCTGTCTGTATGCGTGTAAACTCAATATTTCAAGCCCCCACTTTGCCACTCCTGTCTGGGAAACCTTGAGCAAGTTATTTAACATCTCTGGCCTCAGTTTTTCTCATCTGGAAAATGGGGATACTAATGGCATACCTACTTCACTGGGTGGTCCTGAGGATTACAAGACACACGTCTAAGTGCTTCCAAAGCACTTGGTCTGCGAGGCCAGAGAAGCTCAAATGTTACAGGTGTGTGGGAGGTGGTGGTGGTTTAGGTACCCGCTGTTGGTGTCACACTCCTCAGTATTGGGCTCCTGCCATGTGCTGCTCCCTGATCAAAGGGCTTTATCTGCATTATCCGCAATGCTCTCAACAGCCCTGCCAAGCAGGTAATGTTGGCTCTGTGCTCACAGCTGGTGAGAACCTGAGCCGGACTAGACCCTGGGTCTGTGTAACTCCAGGAACAATCACATCAATAGTACCAGCATGAGAATAATGACAATCTCAACGCCAGCAATAATGTTGATGATGGCTGGCCTCTATTTACATTAATCCAGCATTCTGAGCACTTTCCGTGTATTCATCTCTTAAGGCTCACCACCACCCGAAGAGGGACTTGCTGTTTTCTCCCCATTTTGTAGATGAGGAAGCAAAGGCTCAGGGAGGTAAATTAGTAACAGGTGCAGGATTTGAACCCAAGCAATCTGGCTCCAGGGTGTGGAACCACTGCACTGTATTGCCTCTGTGGGCATGTCACCCCACCCTCCCATCTCTCACACACACACACCCGCACCTGACACCCTTTTCTGGTCCAGCTCTGTGGCTCTCCCACTTTGCTCAGAGGGAGTGGAACACCCAATGAGGTGGCGCTGTCAGCTCCTTGGGCACTGTCCCCGCCCAGCACCCTCCCAGGCCTCTTGGAAGCAGGAGTCTGCCAGAGGGCACCGGGGCACCCTGCCAGGGAGAATGCGGCCCCATCTCCCCTGTGTCCATGGCACTTGGGCGCTTCCTCTGGGTTACTGTGAAGAAGAAGAAATGACTAGGTCATAGGTAACCCCCTTCTGAGCCCCCCAGGGACATGGTGTCCACCCCTCTTTCCTCCAACCACCCCCCCCCAGCCTTGCATGAGGTGGCTATTTCTGTCCCAGGCAGGAACCGTGTGCAAACCCTGCTGACCCAGAGAGCAGCTAATTCCCATCTCAGATGTGTTTCTGGCAACTGGACACCTTCCCCCCAAGGGAGGGAAAGAAAGACCAACCAATTTCGGTGAGGGGCAAAAGCAGAAAAGTAGGGGCATGGAGACGGGGAGGAATCCCTCTAGCACATTCTCCCAAAGAAAGAATATATACAATATATATATTTTAAAGAAGTTAACGTGATAGTTAGGACAATGACATAAGACCTTGGAGGACACTGGTGAAAGCCAAGGAGAGACACGTGGAGAAGATGGTCGAGGATGACTGATTCATATGTGTAGACTCTCCTGCTCCCTCGTGTCCACTCACACACCCAGCCCCGCCCCAAGGCCCCCAGAGTAAGAGCTGGCCCCGTCTCTGGCTGAGAGGAGCCAGGACCCCCACTCAGCCAGGCTTCACCTTCCTCCTCACTGCCCAGGGAGTGGGTGGACTGGTGGAAGACAGGGACACTGTATTGCGCAACCTCTGGGGTTGCCTTTCACATTGTAGTCTAAATGAATAATGTCCTCTAAAGTTGTACAATCACTGGAAACTGGGGTTCTAGTCCTGACTGTGCTGTGTGTCCTAGGGCAAGTCACTTCACCTCTCTGGGACTCGCTTTCATTATTAATAAAATACTGAGCTGGCCTCAGAGTTAATCACACTCTTCCCTGTACCTTCTTGCACGCATAACAGCTAACATGGTTTGAATGCCTCCTGCATGCTCTACTTGTGTTGATCTTTTAATCCTCACAACAGTGCAAGGAAGTAGGTGCTAGAATCATTCCCATTATACAGATGAGGAAACTGAGGCACAGAACAGTGATATAACTTGCCTCAGGACACACAGCTAGTGAACTGGGGTTTAAAGCCAAGTAGCATGACTTCAAAGCCTGTGCACCCCAGTCTCTGCTGCCGTGTAGATGCACTGCGTTGTATTTGTCTGATCAAATGTCTGTTTCTGCTAGGCTGGGAGCTCCCTGAGGCCACTTGTCCTGCACACAGTGAGAGGGGCTCAGCAAATGTCCACTGGAAAATAAGGTTGGGGATGGGGTAGACCACCCCAGTCCCTTTCAGTAGGGATATGGGAAGAGAACCAGGGGACCCCAAGGGGGGAAAAAGGGAGTGAATAACAGTAGGTCACTGCCCCTTCCAGAGGAATAGGGGACGTGCATCTGAGTACCTGGGAGCGCAGGGCCGATTAAAAGTCCCCCTTAGAAAAGAAAGAAGGCTCAAAGATTCAGGTTCCTAATAAGTTCGGGAAGCTCAGAGACGTGAGCCCTGTTCTTAGTTCTACATTTCCCAGCAGCGGAAGTGGAAGACAGAGTCATGACAGAGTCCCTGCCACCCAGAGGGCTTCCCCAAACCCTGCCTCTGCCTTGGTCAGCAGAGTCCTATCATGTGCCCAAGCCTCAGTTTCCTCATCTGCAAAGTGGGAACGATAGCAACACTCCTCACCTCCGCAGACAGTTGTGAGGACTGCTTTAGGTGACATCTTTTTAAATGCCCAACGTGTGGTCGGTCTGATCTGGAGGCCTGAGGACCCTCGTGCTGGCTGAAGGTGGCACCCTCAGGGGCCCAGAGGCTGAGCTGAGGCTCCCCTCAACCCCTGCTCCCCAGGTCCTGAACCTCTTCTTGGCCCTGCTGCTGAGCTCCTTCAGCGCTGACAGCCTCGCGGCCTCGGACGAGGATGGCGAGATGAACAACCTGCAGATCGCCATCTGGCGCATCAAGTGGGGCATCGGCTTTGCCAAAGCCTTCCTCCTGGGGCTGCTGCATGGCAAGATCCTGAGCCCCAAGGATATCATGCTCAGCCTTGGGGGACCCGGGGAGGCTGGGGAGGCAGGGGAGGCTGAGGAGAGTGCCCCCGAGGATGAGAAGAAGGAGCCACCGCCTGAGGATGATGACAAAGACCTGAAGAAGGACAATCACATCCTGAACCACATGGGCCTGGCTGATGGCACTCCCAACAGCATCGAGCTGGACCACCTCAACTTCATCAACAACCCCTACCTGACCATCCACGTTCCCATTGCCTCCGAGGAGTCTGACCTGGAGATGCCTACAGAGGAGGAGACTGACACTTTCTCAGAGCCTGAGGATGGCAAGGTGAGCCCATCACAGGGCCCAGCTTGAGGGGAGGGGGTCAGATAGACACAGCTTCACATTTTTGTGTGACCTTGGGCAAGTCATAAATCCTCTCCAAATCTCAGTTCCTCCATCTGTAAATGGGGGTAATAGTACCTACCCTGTGACATTGTTGTGACCATTAGAAGAGATGCCGTGTTTGTAAATTGCTTAATAAGCTGTCTGTGAATGGTGACTATTAGTACAGTTATTAAGATCTGCCCTCCTGTCCTAATACCCTAGTCTCTCCTCCCTTCACTCCTGCCTTGCAACTCCACCTGGGCCCCTCACCAGCAGGTGGTGCTCTTGGTCAGGATGTTCTTACCTGGGCACCTCAGCTCCAGGGCTGGGACCCAAGAGGCCTCTCTTGAGCTCCCCCTGGGCTTGAAGGCCCTGCCAGGTCCTTGCCGTTATCATCTACTTCTGTTTAGCCCCCACCTGGGGCTGCTCCCAACCTCCCAGTGTGGGCCAAAGTGCCCAGTCCAGGCTGAGGATTCTCAGGAGAGGGCCAGGGGCCCAGTGGGGCTGGGAGAACAGGGAGTTGGGGCACAGCTTCAGCAGGAGCCCGACCCACCCACCCAGCCAGTGCAGGGTGCCCACTGCTGGGTGGAGATGCCCTCCTCCTGCCCTCCCCTGCCCGGGTCGGGGAGGCACTGGCGGTCACTCTCAGAAGCTCAGGCTGAGGCTGGGGCTTGCCTGGGCCTCCCAGGGGAGCTGACTCTGAGCCGCCTCACCCACCCTCCAGCTCTGGCAGGGGAAGGACTAGCACATAAGCTGGGGCAGGATCCCCTGCCCACCCCCACCCCATCATGGGGGCCTGGCTGGGCGCCAGAGCCTGAATGAACTTTGCCCTGAAAGCTCTTGACTGCTTAGTCCCCCTAGATATGTGGCACACTGACTTACCAGGGGGCCGAGTGCCTGCCAAGCTATAAATACCCAGGGAAATGTGGCACCAACCTCGGTATGAAGAGCGGGGGTGGGGGAGGGCTGGAGAACGCCCAAGGCCAAGGCTGTGGACTCTTTAAAGGGGGCAAGCAGAGCTCCAAGAGGGATTGTGGGAGTTGGAGTGCACAGGAGGGGCAATTGGCTCAGTGAATGCTCTGGCTGACCTGATGCTCCCTGCCTCAGTTTCCCTTTCTGTCAACTGGGCACAAGGACCCCCCCTGGTTTTCTGGTGACCATTCTGGATCGAGAGCTGCCCCTCAAGCTCCTCTCTCCATCTTCCCCTTCGGGGTCCTCACCCCAAGCCATGAAGGGGTCCCCTTGAGGAGTAGAGGGTGGGGCCGGGAGGCTGGCCTGGGACAGCACCAGGAGGAGAGGAAGGGAGGCCTGGCCAAGGGGAGCACCAGCCTCCTCCAGCCCCACCCCACTCCCATCAGGTTCCTTTGGCCCCAGGCTGGAGCTTCGGCTGGGGAAAATTTTCTGTCCTTTCTGGATTCCTCAGCCAAACAGCCCCTAGGGGGTGAAAGGCTCAGACCTTGGAGGCACCGCATACTGTTCTCTGCGGGCTGTGGCAGCCCCAGCTCCATCCTGAGCCCCTTACATACCCCCTCAGAATTACCTTCAAGCCTCTTATTCCTCTGCTGTCCCCCTCATGCCTCTCCACACCTCCCAGAACTCCCAGCCCAGCTGAGCCACCCCCTGGCCAGTTTGTCTCCTGGCTCTCCCCCTACCTGAGTCCCCCGCAGGTCTCAGCGTGCCCTCGCCGCCCTTCCCAGGCTTCAGCCCTGCTTCGACCCAAATCTAAGTACCACGAGGGCAGGACCACAGCTGCCTCGGTCGCTGTCATTCTTCTGCATGGGCCACAGTGCTGGTTCCATAATCCAGGGCTGAGTGAATGAACGAATGAATGAATGGGAGAGCCCTCCACCCCCTTTCTCCTCCCCCTTCTGGTCTCTCATCCTGACCTCCTCTGCCCCACCTGGTGGGAGGACCCGGGGTCACATGACCCTGTGGCCCCTGCAGAAGCCACTACAGCCCCTCGACGGGAACTCCTCCGTCTGCAGTACGGCCGACTACAAGCCCCCCGAGGAGGACCCCGAGGAACAGGCCGAGGAGAACCCTGAGGGGGAGCAGCCTGAGGAGTGCTTCACCGAGGGTGAGGGCAAGCCTGCGTGTGCACCCCGCCCCTTCTGGGTCCCTCCCCCAGCCCAGCAGACCCCTAGCCCAGCCCCAGCCCATTTTCTCCTCAGGGACGCACACATCACAAAAGCATGCAGGCCCTTCTTTCCCTGAGGCTACCCTGCCCTGCCCTGCCACAGCTTGGGAGAATACAACCCTGGGAAGGGGTGTCAGGGCCCGATGCCTCTGAGCTCCTCACTCCCTGAGCCTCAGGTGTGCACAGTAGGTGATGGCAGCACTGGCCCCTGAGGGCTGCTGTGCAGAATCCCCGCAGAGCCCCGACAGTGCCATCTGGTACGAAGCAAGTGCTCAGGAATGGCTGCTCTGTAATCCTCCCTGGTTTCCTCTTCCAAGAGAGAGACCTGCCCAGCCCTTCAGGGAACAGCCCGGCAGGAACATTTTTTTTTTTTTAAAGATTTTATTTTTTCCTTTTTCTCCCCAAAGCCCCCCAGTACATAGTTGTATATTCTTCGTTGTGGGTCCTTCTAGTTGTGGCATGTGGGACGCTGCCTCAGCGTGGTTTGATGAGCAGTGCCATGTCCGCGCCCAGTGTTCGAACCAACGAAACACTGGGCCGCCAGCAGCAGAGCGCGCGAACTTAACCGCTCGGCCACAGGGCCAGCCCCCCGGCAGGAACATTTTTGCCCAAAGGGCCAGGGTTTTACAGAGTTAAGGCTGCCTGTTTGGAGTGGGGGAGGCTGGGGGCAGCCGATAGCTATAGCGCCTGGGCTGGTGGCCTGCACCCCTGCATGTCTTTCCTCTGCATGTCCATCCCTGGCAGCAGTTGACGCATGGGTGGAGTGGGCTGTGGAGGGAGGACTTGAGGTCCCCATGCGAGGGCTGGGGCTGGACCTCCCTACTTCCCGCCCATTTCCAACCAGTGGTGAAGGACATGGAGCCAGGTGTTGGGAAGAGGTGGAGGCTCTGGGTTTGGGGGGCAGCGAGGTGGAGAGCTGGAGGAGGCATCCTGGGAAGGTGGTGGGACCATGCTGACCATGCATCCTGAGGCAGCCCCCAGGCCCGTGACATAGTGCCCTGGCCCCTTCCCTCCCCCAGCCTGTGTGCAACGCTTTCCCTGCCTCTCCGTGGACATCTCCCAGGGCCGTGGGAAGATGTGGTGGACACTCCGCAGGGCCTGCTTCAAGATTGTCGAGCACAACTGGTTTGAGACCTTCATTGTCTTCATGATCCTGCTCAGCAGTGGAGCCTTGGTAGGCACTGCCTTGGGGGACAGGCACGGGCAGAGCGGTGCCAGGCTCAAGCAGGCCCTCCTGGCACTCCCTCCTTTCCACACCAGGAAGGGATGCAGCCTGGACAGTCCCGAACCCAGAGAATCCTAAAGGAGCTCACCTGTGGTTGCAGGATATGTTGTAGAATATATTAATTTTCTTAAAGTGACACATGGGCTCTGACTCTGTGTGCACCCATGGCGACAGGTCCCAACCAGCGGGCAGGTTGGAAAGGCCCTGGGAATTTGGGATGGGGGCGGGATTGTAGATGTGTCACTGTGGACCCCCTCGCAGATGATTGAGTGCTGCTCTTCTTAGGGTTGGGGAGGGGGAGCTGAGGGGTTTCTCCCCAGCGGGAGACTCGTTCATCCCCATGATGGGCATGAGGAGTCTGAGAGATGCCAACAGCTGGCCCCCAGCCTGGCCCCAGGGCCAGGTCCCTAGGAACTGGCAGCATCAGGCAGGGTAGGGGACGTGGCTGCTGCCCCGGCCTCCCAGGCCCTGGCCACCCCGGCTGTGCTGGTGCCCCCAGGCCTTCGAGGACATCTACATCGAGCAGCGGCGAGTCATCCGCACCATCCTGGAGTACGCTGACAAGGTCTTCACCTACATCTTCATCATGGAGATGCTGCTCAAGTGGGTGGCTTACGGCTTCAAGGTATACTTCACCAACGCCTGGTGCTGGCTCGACTTCCTCATCGTGGATGTGAGTCCTTGCTGTCACCCCACCCCCACCCCACCCCTGTGGCAAGATCCAGAGGTTGTCCTTGTGGTCCTGAGGCCCTGCGCTCCCTGACCACCTCACCCTCCCTTTGCAGGTCTCCATCATCAGCCTAGTGGCCAACTGGCTGGGCTACTCCGAGCTGGGACCCATCAAATCCCTGCGGACACTGCGTGCCCTGCGTCCCCTGAGGGCACTGTCCCGCTTCGAGGGCATGAGGGTGGGTGCTGAGGGGACTCTGAGTAGGGCTAGGGATTGGGGGAGCAGTCAACACAGGGCAAGATACAGGGGGTGCATGTCTGTCCTCCGGCCACCACCAGGGGAGGCAGAGGGCTTGGACCAGGGCCCTGCTGAAAGCCAGATTTGGGGGCCCCCAGACATCCTTCCACACCAGCCCCGGTGCCCATTCCCGCCCTAGGACCCTCTCCTTGGCTCAACCCTGCCACCAGTGGGGGGCAGCAGAGGCTGCAGCAGCTTCCAGGAGGGCCGGCAGGGAGGAGAGGAGGGAGGAGAGCAGGTATGTGTGTTTATAGGTTCCCTCCCCAGCCTCAGACTGGGCCCCCCCAGGGCCCTGAGACCCGAGCAAGCGGGAGGTGTTTGTGCCCAGGCTCTGAGCCAGCCTGCCCTTCCCTCAGGCCCCTGAGAGCGGAAGTGACAGATAAATAAAGGGTTTGGGCAAGACAATGGGACTTCCCCAGCAAAGGGAGGTCCGTTGGGAACAAGACCCACTCTGGAGGGACAAACCTCCGTGAAGCAGCTGGTTGTAGGCCAGCCGTGCACTAGGCCCCAGTGGCTCCCTCCCGTTCATGCGAGGGGCCAGCTAATGCTGGGCTCTCCCACCCCCCAGAGCTGGGGACCCTGCCCCATTGAGGGAAAATGACCTGCCCGTGGCCACACACCAACTGCCTGGTTGGTGCCCCAGCCAGGAATAGAGCTCCCTGGGTATCACCAGGCTTGTGCCACCCACTCTGTCTGAAGCTTGTAAAACAGCTTTTCCTTGAAAAGGGACAATTCCCAGATTTAGCCCAGTCTGAAATTGGTGAGGTTGACCCGTGTGGCCAGGACTGGTGGGGCCCAGAGCTCCAGTCCCAGGGTCCGGCTGCTTCGAAGACCCTGATGGCTTCTTTTCTGTGTCTGTGCCTCAAATGGCTGTGAGCAGATGAGCAGGGGGCCAGGTCACGGGAGCTGAGTTTCCTATGGGGGCCGAGGAAGGAGTGTTTGTCTCCTGCCTGGTGACCCGTGGCGGGGCTGCTTCCAGAGAAGCCCAGTGCCCCAACTCTGGGCTGATGGCTCCAACCAAGCAGAGAGCCTTCTCCAACCACCAGGCCGGCAGCCCCTCACCCTTGCTCCTCGCTCCCACCCCTCCCCCAACACATACAACCCAGCTGACTTCTCCCCTAGGCCTGGCTCAGATTCGCCCTCCTCCAGGAAGCCTTCCCTCAATAACGATGCACAGCCCTGCCTGGTTCCCTGGTTAGTGTAGTTGGGTAGGCCTCTCCCAGAGGAGACCAGGTCTCCCCCACCTGCTTGGGAGAAGATCTGGCAATGACGCCCTTCCCTGGCCCCCAGGTGGTGGTGAATGCCCTCCTGGGAGCCATTCCCTCCATCATGAATGTGTTGCTCGTCTGCCTCATCTTCTGGCTCATCTTCAGCATCATGGGCGTCAACCTGTTTGCCGGCAAGTTCTACTACTGCATCAACACCACCACCTCCGAGAGATTCGACATCTCCGAGGTCAACAACAAGTCCGAGTGCGAGAGCCTGATGCACACAGGCCAGGTCCGCTGGCTCAATGTCAAGGTCAACTACGACAACGTGGGTCTGGGCTACCTCTCCCTCCTCCAGGTGGTGAGTGTGACCTGCTGATCGGCATGGAACTGGGATGGAGGTGCCCTGGATCTCTTGTACCTGAGCCCACTGCCACTCCTTGTTAGGGAGCTGCCCACCCTGCTTCCAGGGCTGTGGGACCCTGAGGTAGTGTCTAGACCTCTCTGGCCTCTATTTAATGCCTGCCCCAGTGGGGCTCTGGGCAGGCAGCCTCTGGGGAGGACCAGACTTGGGGGGGCGGGGCGCATAACTCATGGATGATGGAGGCAGGGAGCAGCCCCCTCACCTCTCACCCAACCGCACTTTCTTAGGCCACCTTCAAGGGCTGGATGGACATCATGTATGCAGCCGTAGACTCTCGGGAGGTGAGTGGGGGTCACTGAGATGTGGCTGGTGAACAAGCCAGGGGAGAGGACTCAGATCAGAGACACAATGGCACATTCTGCCCATCCCCACTGCCATGCTGCCTCCTCGGGAGGCTCTGAGACCCAGCAACCTGAGGGTGGCTGGGTCCACCTCTGGACCCCAGGCCTCTCCTGCCCACAGTGGGATGGGGAGCAAGGAGCAGCCAGCATGTACCCCCAAGCATGCCCAGCAAACCCTGTCCCATCCTGTGGCCCCTGCAGCAGGAGGAGCAGCCGCAGTATGAGGTGAACATCTATATGTACCTCTATTTCGTCATCTTCATCATTTTCGGGTCCTTCTTTACACTCAACCTCTTCATCGGCGTCATCATTGACAACTTCAACCAGCAGAAGAAGAAGATGAGTATCCAGCCCGGCCATCCCTGGGCTCTCCCCATGCTGGGCTCCCTCCTCCCTTCCTTCGTCCCATCATTCCTCCGTATAGTCACAAATGCTGCCTCAGCACCCAGTGTGCTGTTGCTGGTGGCATGGTTGAGGCAGCAAGCCTGGGTTCAAATCTCACTGGGTGACCTTGAACAAGTGACTTGGCCTCCGTGAACCTCAGTTTTCTTATCTATGAAATGAGGTTGATGCTACCTACCTTGCTGGGTCCTTCTAAGGACCCAACAAGATATTGATGGAAAGCATCCCAAAACAGGCTGTGAGGCAGCGCTGGTCCCCTTCCCTTCTCTGGACCCCTCAGTCACCTTCCCCCTCTTCCCTCAACCCATATCTCTGGTCCCTCCAGGCCCCCCCTTCCCACCAGGCCCCCCTGCTGGGATGGGGGCTGCTTTAAGGGTGGTGCCTGAGGTAGGGAGGTTCTGGAGGCAGAGGGGGGATCCCCTAACCTTACGGGCTGCATTCCACTATACCTTGGAGGGAAAGACATCTTCATGACGGAGGAACAGAAGAAATACTATAATGCCATGAAGAAGCTTGGCTCCAAGAAGCCTCAGAAGCCAATTCCCCGGCCCCAGGTACAGCCGCTGGGCTCCTCCTCCTGCAGCCTGTGTGAGGCTCCCGCTGAGGGGGCTGATGGGGGCAAAATTCAGCTTGTGCTCTGCCTGCCAGGCTGTGTCCCTGACGTGAGGCTGGGTCCACCTGCAAAGAGGCTGGGTCTACCTGCCGAGAGGGGCGCCTCTTTGTAACTGCACAAAGGCACCGTATGCGCGAGCAGCGGCTGCCTGCTTAGCTCCAGTCACTGGTGTACCCCTCACCCCACCCTGCATAGCACCCCAGTGTCCATCCACTTTCTCAGCTGGTGGCCTCTGGTCCAAGGGCCCCTAGGAGGGAGAGTAAGAGGATGTCCAGATACCCTCCCAGTGAGCAATGGCTTTGGGAGAAGGGTGAGGGGTTGCTGGGGACCTTGACAGAAGGAAGGGTCCCAGATTGAGGAAAGATGTCCACGGACCCCATAGAATGGCCTGGTCTGATAGCTCTCCGCTCCCTGGCCTCCACCCTGCAACTTCACCACAAACCCTGATACCTCCTCTCCCTCTCTCTCTCCCTCTCCTCTTTGTTATGCTGTCGTGTCATCCTGTGTCTCCCACCTGTTCATGTCCTGTGTGGGCCCTGACCACTCCTCCACCCATATCCACCCATGTACATCCCTGCACTTCCATTCACTCTGCAGAACAAGATCCAGGGCATGGTGTATGACTTTGTGACGAAGCAGGTGTTCGACATCACGATCATGATCCTCATTTGCCTCAATATGGTCACCATGATGGTGGAGACGGACGACCAGAGCCAGCTCAAGGTGGACATCCTGTACAACATCAATATGGTCTTCATCATCGTCTTCACGGGGGAGTGTGTGCTCAAGATGTTCGCCCTGCGCCAATACTACTTCACCGTTGGCTGGAACATCTTCGACTTCGTGGTTGTCATCCTGTCCATTGTGGGTGAGCAGGACCAGCCTGGGCTGAGTCATTCAGGAAGGCCTGGTGCTCCCATTCTCGTGTATGCACACCTGCTCATGCACCTGGCATGATCACGCACACACTCACACATACACATGTGTGTGTGCACCTGGCATTCACACTTAATGCACAAAGGCACATGAGGATGGGTTCACAGGCAGCCTGTTGCCTGCACACACGTGAATACACCTCCAGAAACATTTACCTGGCTACTAGACACACACTCAGGTGCTCATGTGCTTACTGAAAAACGTAAGAAGACAGTTCCAGTACCCACACACACTGGAGAAGTGCGTGGACATGTGTAATTATGATAGTAATTAGCTACCATTTATTGAGCATTTACTGTTTGCCTGACGCTGTGCTATGCACTTTACAGGCATTAGCTCACTAATTGTTCATAACAATGCCATGAGGGAGGTACTATTATCCCTTCCATTTTACAGATGAGGAAACTGAGTCACAAACAAGTTATGTCGCATGCCCAGAGTCATACACACACAGAGCTATCCTCCCTCTCTCCCTTTCACTCTCATCTATGGCATCTGCAAACAGCCTTGGGAATGGGCCTTACCCTCACCCCATCAATGTTGGCATCTCTCACCTCCATTCAGCTCTGTCAGGGCACAGATGTCACCCCTGGCCTCAAGACCCTGGGAAAGCCCAGCCTGATGGGTCAGGCCATTAAGGCTATGCCCTGAGGGTTGAGCTTCTGCTGCTCCTTTCTGGGGAAGAGCACACCAGGCCGGGGCCCCTTGAGCCCCGCATGCCCCGCCCCCCACCCCCACCCCGGCCTCCCACCCTGAGGGCAGCAGTCCTCACCACTTCCTCCCTGCAGGCCTCGCACTCTCCGACCTGATCCAGAAATACTTCGTGTCACCCACACTGTTCCGTGTGATCCGCCTGGCACGGATCGGGCGCGTCCTGCGGCTGATCCGTGGGGCCAAGGGCATCCGGACGCTGCTCTTTGCCCTCATGATGTCACTCCCTGCCCTCTTCAACATTGGCCTGCTCCTCTTTCTGGTCATGTTTATCTACTCCATCTTCGGCATGTCCAACTTTGCCTATGTGAAGAAGGAGTCAGGCATCGATGACATGTTCAACTTTGAGACCTTTGGCAACAGCATCATCTGCCTCTTCGAGATCACCACGTCAGCTGGCTGGGACGGGCTCCTCAATCCCATCCTCAACAGCGGGCCCCCTGACTGTGACCCCACACTGGAGAACCCGGGCACCAGTGTCAGGGGTGACTGCGGCAACCCCTCCATCGGCATCTGCTTCTTCTGCAGCTACATCATCATCTCCTTCCTCATCGTGGTCAACATGTACATTGCCATCATCCTGGAGAATTTCAACGTGGCTACTGAGGAGAGCAGCGAGCCCCTGGGTGAGGACGACTTTGAGATGTTCTATGAGACATGGGAGAAGTTTGACCCTGACGCCACGCAGTTCATTGATTATAGCCGCCTCTCTGACTTCGTAGACACCTTGCAGGAACCACTGAGGATCGCCAAGCCTAACAAGATAAAGCTCATCACGCTGGACCTGCCCATGGTGCCCGGCGACAAGATCCACTGCCTGGACATCCTCTTTGCCCTGACCAAAGAGGTCCTGGGTGACTCTGGGGAAATGGATGCCCTCAAGGAGACCATGGAGGAGAAATTCATGGCAGCCAACCCATCCAAGGTCTCCTATGAGCCCATCACCACCACCCTCAAGAGGAAGCAGGAGGAGGTGTGCGCCATCAAGATCCAGAGGGCCTACCGCCGGCATCTGCTTCAGCGCTCTGTGAAGCAGGCATCCTACATGTACCGCCACAGTCAGGACGGCAGCGGGGATGGGGCCCCCGAGAAGGAGGGACTGATCGCCAACACCATGAGCAAGATGTATGGCCGTGAGAATGGGAACAGTGGTGTGCAGAGCAAGGGTGAGGAGAGGGGCTCAACAGGGGATGCTGGACCTGCCATGGGGCTCACACCCATCAGCCCCTCGGACTCTGCCCTCCCTCCCTCCCCACCCCTGGGGCTGACTGTGCGCCCAGGGGTCAAAGAGTCTCTTGTCTAGCAGGCTGCATCAAGGTGGCCAGCAGAGCCTGGTATAGCCCTAAAGCTCCCCTGTGGTGCCCGCTTGCTGAGGAAGCAGGGCTTTGAGTCTGGGACTGATCTGGCTCCCTGTCAGTGACAGGATTTGGCCATGCTGGGGCTGACACTCAGAATGGAGCACCTGCCTCCCCAGGTCATAGAAAATGGGAATTGCACTCTGAGGTTCCAAACTGGGCCTGAGGCCCCTGCCTCCATGATTTCACCTTCAAGTTGTTCTCACCTCCTCATGGGCCCTGCTACCCCTCCTCTTGGCCTGGGGGGAGGTCAGAACATCAGAATCTCTGCCCTCCACTTGGGGAGGAGCTGGCCTACAATGGAGGGATTTGCTGCCTTCCTGCCACCAGAGTCTTAAGAGCTACTGGCCTCTCCCCAGGCAGTGGCTCAGGTGCCCAGCCCCTCCAGGACGTCTTAACTTCAGTGACAGCAGACACCTGACCCCAGGCCCTGCCAGCTCTCTGACTCTGAGATGCAGCTTCACCCTGCCAGCTCAGGATTTCCCTGGGAAAGAGAAGTGTCACTGGTCCAGAGATGGCTCCACAAACCTGATTGGCCACTGGATCCTGACACATCGGGCTGGGGTTGTGTTCCCTGAAACCATTTCCCAGTTTGTCCATTGTCCAGACCCCTGGCTCCCCTGGCTGGCCCCTGGGGGAAGAACAGAAGGAGAATTCCACTTGAGGACTGTCTTTTTCTGGGAAGCACAGATGGGTAGTATAGGGTGGATCCTACCAGCTGTGTCATTGCACTGGAGGCTTTCTTGGCCTTAGCACCCAGACCTGGGGTGGGGTCGGGGACCCTGGGGCTCAGGAGGCAGATTCCTGTCCCTCCCTCCCTTCCTCAGTCCTCCATTAGCACTGGGGCTCCCTGTAGCCTCACCAAGCCTCGAGATCACCTTGTCGTCCCCCACCACGCCCATCTCTTTCTCCCTCCTCATCTTTTCTTCTCCCTCCTCAAAGTGATCCTAAGAACGTTATAGTTGAGCCCATGTGAGAGATTTCAACACCGGGGCATGCTTGGCTCACCTGGCTCAGGCCCAGCCTTCCAACTTCCTGCTGCCTGGAAAGCCGGGTGGCACGTCAGCTGGCATGGCAGTGCCAGGCCTCTGCTGGCTCCTGGAGAACAGACAGAGGCCAAGCTTGGAGAAGGGGGTGAGAGACCTGCTCAGGCATTACTGGATTTATTCACCTGTGTGTGTCCCTTTGTGTCTGCTTTGTGCCATGTGTATAGCTGTGTGTGTGTGTTAAAGTGTGTGAACCACCGCGTCCTACGATGACTGCATATGCATGTGTGTATGGTTATATTTGTATATATGTGTGTCATTGTGCCCCTGTAGTGTCTGGCTGGTGTGTGTGTGTCTTCTGTGCAGGGCTGTCCATGTGGTATGCCTGTGTTGTGAGTGTGTGTACAAGTGTGAACACGTGGTAAGGTTTGCACATTGAGTCCCTGTTGGCCTTAGTTCCTCTTCTTTTTCTTCTTGTTTCTCATGAACAGTTTGATTAAAACTCAGGAAGCAGCAAAACCTCCAAAACAACATGTGTGTGTGTTTGTGTGTGTGCACACCCAAGGCTGGAGCCTTCCTTTCTGTCTGCCCTCCTCACCGCCCTACCTGGGCATCCCTCTCTCTCACTCCCCATGAGTCCACTCTTCTCTCTTCCTCTGGTTCTCTTCATCACACCCATTGCCCCAGCCCTGCTCCCCATCTCCTGCCTGTGTCCTCTGCGGAAGGAGGCCCCCACTCCTTCTGTCTCCTCCTGCAGAAGGTTCATCCTATAGGGGGCAGCCTCGTCCCTGACCAGCCCTCTGCCCACTGCCTTTCCCTCCTCCAGCCCTGGACGGGTGCGGCCCTAAGAGCCTCAGCATCTGCTGGACTGGATATCCTCCCCTGGACCGTGTACAGATTGCAGAGCCTTCCCCACCTGTGGCCCTCTCCCCTGCAGATCCACACCCATTCGCACCTTGTCTGGGTGGGGACAGGCCCAAGCCAGGCCGGCAGATGGGGTCCTTTGTACAGTTCTTATAATAAACCTCCCCCTGGTGCCTCTGATGTGTGGGTTTCTTCCTTCTGCGCCTCAACTTGCAGATGTCGTGGAGTCTGAGGGAGCAAGAAGCAAGAAGGACTGGTGGGGATTGGAGCCAAGTGAGGATGACTTGAGAGCCTCTAGGGGGCCGGGGAGGGCAGGATAAGGAAAGCCTCAGCTCCCTCCCCTGGCCCAGTCCAGCTCTCTCCTGCCCCCTCCAAAAGGAGGCTTGGACACCAGTGTCTTAGCTGCTCTCTGGCCTCCTCTTAGCTGGAGTCTGAGAGGCCAGATGAGGTCAGGAGCTGTGCCCCTCCTTCCCAACAGGCAGCACCACACTCCCTCTCCCCACAGCACCCAGGAAAAAGGTATTGGGACCCCGCCTCCCCGGCCCCTCCTCTCTGGGAGCCCCTTCACTTCTCTCCCACCCCAGAGGCCCCAAGGTGCCTGTGGGGCACACGGTATGTGCGTGTACCTCCCTCTCCAGTGTGTGTACTATCCCCCACAGGACCCTGCCGCTGAGCCCCGACCCCAGAGAGCCCAGGGTCCCATGGACCCAGGACAAAGAGTGATGTTATGCAGTGAGCTCAGTCTACGATCCCGGTGGGTGAAATATAATGTTATATACAATTTTGTTTCGTACAACTTGGTTTCTGACTTCCATACTGTATTCCTTCAAACTAGTCCTTTTCAAGATTTCTGCACCCCCTTTTCCTGGGTCCTGAGGTTACATGGCACCCATGGGAGCTGGAGAGGGGCACCCACAGGCCACCCTGATGTCCCTCAGCCACGTCCCTGAGGCCCCTCCCCATCCTGCTGCTCTTTTTGCCTGGTGGGGAGGGGTCCAGCATCCCTGCAGGGTCCTCTGAGCCCCCGCCCAGGGTGCTGACCGCCCTCCCTGGGATGGGGAGCCAGTTCTCACTTTAAGTTTCTCCAAACTGCGCCTGGGTCCCTCTCTGGCCCCAAGGACAGGAAAGCTTGCAGGGGGGCCCAGTCGGCCTTTCCCCTGATGCTTGAATGGCAGCAGAAAAAAAGGCAAAAACACAGATACCACAGGCTAATATTTCAGAATCACATCCCTCCCCAGTTGTCAGTGCTGTTCACCACCTTCCTGAGGGCGGACTGTGCTTCCAGGGTCCTCGCCAAGTGCTTCAGATATAGGATTTCCTTCAAGGCGCACAACCGCCCTCTGAAGAAGGTATTATTATGATTATTCCTATTTTACACAAATGAGGAAATGGTCTCTGAGGGGTTAAGGCTGGGTGTTGCTTAGCTGAGCACTGTTGGCGTGTGAGACAGGGGAATTCTGCTTGTGAGACGCTGTCCCTTCCACTTCAGGGCCTTCAGTGACCCTGGCCCATGAATGCCAGTTGGGTCCACTGGTCATCGTGACCATCACAATGGCCCTGGCGCATTTCCAGATGCTCCCGAGGTGGGACCCCCCCGCCTTGTTGAGGACCACCACGTAACTTGGGGAGGCTTTCTGGCTGGTACACTGCAGGGCTGGGATTCAGACCCACATCCTTCTAAGCCAGAGGCCTCCTCCCGGTAACAGTGTGCCTAGTGGAGCCAGTCAGAGCAGACTGGGGAAGGGGCAGGGGTCTGAGCCCTTCTCTCACTGAGATTCTGCTGTCTCCCACCATCTCCAGGGTTGTGGGGGGTCCCTGTCCTCTTGCTTCCCCAAACCCCTGAGCCCCTTGTCCCCTCTCCCTACACCTCCATTTCTTGTTTTGATGCTGCCTTCCTGGAAAGGCGGGGTGTGCAGCCCAGGGTAGCTGGGGGCAGAGACGGGAGTGGGCTTACGAGGCCTCCTATTCCAGGAAAGAAAAGGCGTCACAAGCCCTGGACCGAGCTCAGTACTGTTGTCACCAAGGAGGGAACAGCGCGGTCCCAACTGTGACAAATAACCCCGCAGGCAGTGGGGCCCCCTCGCCCCCACCCCCTCTTGAAAACGGATCTCTGCCTGGCATGAATGGGCATGAAGTCCAAAGGACACATCTGCATCCCCACCCACAGGGGACATGGATATGTGTGTGTTTGGAGGATATCAACAGCCTCCCAACCTTTATGCCCCCTAGAGTCACCCTGGGCCCCAGGACCAGCTCCTGAGCAGGCGCCACTCCACACAGCCCAGGCAACACACCTGTGAGCATACACATGCACACCTACATGTGTGTGCCCCAAGCCTTCCCCAATTATTCTCCCAACTTTGGGGGGACACTGGCCCCAAAGCTAACCAAGGCCTCCACCACCAGGATGTACTTTGCTAAAAGAAGAGACCCCTGGATTTCCCCCTATTCCTCTAGGGTGTCTCCAACCACCCCCACAGCACCAGGGGCCAGCAGTCCCCAAGCTGACCTCAGGTGATGTTTATATTCCCGGGTTGTTTGTTCTATGAACTGAACATATGACACATTTTCAGAGAAATGTTTTTTTCATTTGGAACATCTGGGAACAGCAAGAACATCTGGGACTGCCGGGAACGGGCTGTTCCTTCAATGAAACCTTAACCCTCCTGTCCCCACTTTCCATAGTCTCGGTCCTGGTGGGCACTCCTCAAGGGTGTCCCCCACCATGACAGGTGAGGCCTATGCCCAGGACTGAGGGGGCAGCATCTAAGACCCCTGCCTTCCTCACCGCTTGGGAGGCAGGTCCGCACCTCCCTAACCCAAATAAGCCTGCCAGCAGCACAGGCTGTCTGAAAAATGGAGGTTAGTGGGGAGAACGAGATGGAGGCAGAAGACATGTAGGATTCAGCATCTTTCTTCCCTTCCTGGGGGTCAGGAGAAGAGAAGGAGTGAGGGGACAAGAGAGAAAAAAGAAGCTTTCAGGAGACGTAAAACTCAGAGTGAGCTCGGCCGTGGGGCTGAGGTGTGCAGGCCTGCCGGGTGCAGCTGTGCAGGTCATGCACTAACACAAGAGCACCCCTCCCTCAAGGGGTGAGAGTTGTGTCTGACCCAGGGGCAGGGGCTCAAAGTTGAGCTTAGACAAGCTCCTGACCGCTATGGTTCCATCCACCAGTCTGCTGCTTGGCAAGATAAAGCCGGAGAGCCTTTTAGTTTCAGAACCTGAAACTAAACTGACCTCCTGTCCCCCACCCAAGACCCCTGCAGCTGTGGACAACACTTCAGTGCCCTGGGAGCCCCAACTGCTGAGTGGCGGGTTTTCTCTAAGCTGTCTCCACCTAAGTCCACCCACTTTGGCAGCTCCTAGCAAACTCTCCCACCAAGTGAGGGAGGGAAGCTTCTTGTGAGGGCCTGAACCAAATCATCTGCCACTCTTGGCTAGCTCTTGTTCAGGAACCTCTGTGGCCCCCTTCCTCCACAGGGTCAAATCTCCACCAACCTCCAACATGGCTGCCTGCACTCCAGTCAAGAGGCTGTGCTCTGGGCTCCTCTGGGTACCTGGCTTGGGCCCATATCTGCCCCCCAGCACCTCTGCACCATCCTTCCTTGGTGCTCCTCTTCCTGCAGGGTGCAGGCTGGTCCAGGGCAGAGGGCCCACGCTCACATTCATCCACAGGACCCATGTGTATTTACCTAAGTGCCTGGGAATCTAGACTGCGGGATGGGAGGCTGACGGGCCTCAGGGCATGACCATCAGTGGGGTGGGTACACAGGGAAGGAAGCACAGGCTACTCTCAGAAGACTCAGGGGCCCCTACCTCCCAGGACATCCACTGTGGACCCCAGCTGTAGTGCCCAAGCTGGGGTGACCTTTGAGCCTTAGCAGCACAGCTGACAATAGAGCCCGCCCTCCCCCAGAGTCCCAGGAGAGTTGGTGCCTCCCCTGGGTCCCGATTTGCATGGCAGGAAGGGGCCTGGTGGGGAAGAGGCGGGGAGGAGACAGGCTGCAGCCGGGGCAGTTACACGTTTTCCCCCCAGGAGCCTCCATCCTTCCTCGTCACGGGCTTGGGGTCGAGACAGAGCGGTGACCATGGCTAGGCTGGCGCTGTCTCCCATGGCCAGCAACTGGCTCATGGCGTTGCTGCTGCTCCTTTCAGGTACAGCCTCCTGCAAAGAGGCCTGCTGGTTTCGCTCTCTGTCACCATCTCTTTCTGCTGGTTATGTCTCCTGTTCTCTCCAACCTCCCTCTCCTATCTCTCACACTTTCTGCCTCTGTCCCCCTCTGACTGCCCCGGGGCCTGAGTCTGTGGGTATCAGCCATGCTGTTGGACTCAGGGGTCTGCAGCCCCAGCCCCTCTCCCACCTGAAGAGTGTCGGGGCTGAGCTGGGCTTGAGGAGTTGGTGGCTCTGACCGCGGAAGAGTTAGGCCAGGGAGGAAGAGAGGAGAGCAGTGTGGTTCACCCCCAGGCCCTCTCAGGGCACTGCATGGGGGGAGGCAGGGGAAAAGTTACCCCCAAGCAGACCCTGAGACACGCATGTTCCAGAAACTGTCCCCTGGTCTGGAAGACTGGAGAGCCCAGCTGTGACTTTCCTCTCTGTCTCATCCAGGCTCCTGCTCAAGGCCACTGGGCAGGTCCAAGGCAGAAGCGGGGCTGGGACACAGATCTTCTGGTGACCCTATCCCACTCCAGTCTCTCCAGAGCAGGGCTGGGGAGGGCTGAGGGGTCTTGAAGCTGACGTCCTAGGAGGAGGAAGTGGGTCTGGGAAAGCAGAGGGCGCGCAGGGGTGGGGCAGCCAGCTCAGAGGGGAGAGGCTCTGACCTGGCCCCGCCCACTTCCTCCCACCCAGCAGGTGAGGCGGTGCTATCAACCAACCACAAGGACCAGGCCACAGGTGGGTGAATGGTGGGCAACTTTGCCGCTTCATTCTTGAGCAAGGATGTCTATGTCCAACCCAGGTCACTGTCCCATGGCTGCCCCTTGTGCCCTTGTCCCCCTGGGTCTCCTCACGCAGGACTCCCATCCCCACCACCCGCCCCCTCAGACATCATTCTCATTAGACCTAAGTGCTCCAGTTCCAGTGACTGAGGGGCTGGGCTAAAGCCAGGGTGGGAGTGGGGAGCCAAAGGGAATCACACAGAGGACTCAGGCTAGGTCTGTCCTGCTGAGGAGTCGGGCTCAGCCCTGAAGGAGCCCACAACCTTAGGGGCTCTGACAGGCTGCCCAGGCTGCTGGAGCCCAGGAATTCCGAGGGTGCCACTCACTGCCGGGGTGAGAGGGAGGCTTCTTGGAGCAGGTGGGTGGGGAGAGCACGCCAAGCTGAGAAAGAGGGTTCAGGAACAAAAAGTGGAGCAGGTCCACGCAGGAGGGTAGGGGGAGGTGATGGAGGAAAGATGGGCAGGGGATAGGTGTGGAGGGCTTCCATTGCCAGGCTAAGGATTTGGCCTTTAACCTTGTGGGCAGTGGGGAGCCCCCGAGGATTTCAAACTAGTGCAGGGCATTCCAAGGCATGGAAAGGGGGAGCACTAGGCAAGGTGGGAGTCTGTCCTATGGGCCTCTGGGTCCCAGAGGGTGAGGCCCGGATCAGGCTACTGTACGGGCATGGAAAGAGATCAGACGGTTCCAGAGCCTTTCTAAAAGAAAATCAAATTGGTAGTGGTGGAGAGGCTAGTCAGGAAGGGGCAGGGTCCGGTGGTTTGGCCTGTGGCCTCTCATGTGGCTCAGCTCCCCCACACCTCTGCGTTCTGTCTGTCCCACACAAGGACAGACAAGGGGTGCTAAGCCAGGGCTCAATGTCACCCAGGATGGGCCTCAGGTTGGGCTGGCAGCCAGGAAGATGCCAAGTGGGATTTTGATCCTGGCCTTGACTCCCACAGAAAGCCCTTGTTCCCAGATCTGGCAGTCCCCACGTTTTGTGGCCAAGAAACGAGGCTTTGAGGTGGAAATAAGGTGCCATGCAGAGACCTCGGGCACAGTGAGCTGGCTCCGGAAGCAGGAGAGGAACGACCCCAGGCCACTGACTGAGGACAGGGGCCGCATCCTAAAGACCAAGAATGGATCCATCCACACCCTCACCATCCGAAGCATCCAATATCAGGACAACGGCATCTACTACTGCCAGTGGAATTGCTCGGAGACGTCCTCTGTGCGGGGCTGTGGCACCGAGCTGCGAGTCATGGGTGTGTGTGGGGCCTGCCCTCCAGGCATGGAGGGGAGTGGGGGTGGACAGGGCCACAGGGTGCTCATGGAGTCATCACACTCCATCCCACCCCAGCCTGTCTCCACTGGGGAGGCTACATTGTGAAGGTGGCCCCAGAGCACCCAGGAGAGCTGCTGAAAAGCAGATCCTGAGGGATGCAGGCCCAAAAGGGGAGCCCAGCCTCACCATCCTTGGCCTCCTTCCACCCCAGGGTTCAGCACTGTGGCACAGTTAAAGCGGCGGAACACACTGAAGGATGGCATCATCATGATCCAGACCCTGCTCATCATCCTCTTCATCATCGTGCCCATCTTCCTGCTGCTGGACAAGGTGACCTTGGGGGCTGGGGAGGTGGCCATGGGGCAGGCCAGAGATGGGCAGGGTCTCCATCTTCTCAGCCCCAGAGCCTGCCCATTGACTCACCATTTCCACCACTCCCTCAGTCATTCAGTTTGTTCTTGCAAAGTGCACCTCAACCCCTCACCCCTCACCCCAGGCCAATCTCGCTGGCCCTCACTGGCCTGGCCCAGCAGAGAAGTGGGTGGGGGAAGCTAACATTCTCCATCCCTGGCCCCGCAGGATGACAGCAAGACTAGGATAGAGGAAGATCACACATACGAGGTGAGGAGCAGGGTGGACCCTCAGCTCGGGGCGCCGGGGGGTCAGCAGCACCACCTGTTGGTGTGGTTGGGGAGCGGCCAAGGGCTGAGCTCCATTCCATGTCTCCAGGGCCTGGACATTGACCAGACAGCCACCTACGAGGACATAGTGACTCTGCGGACAGGGGAGGTGAAGTGGTCAGTGGGTGAACACCCAGGCCAGGAGTGAGGGGTTGGCCATCCCCATGCCCCTCGGCACAGCCTGCTGGGCCCTCATGGACTGCTTCAGAGCCGCCTGGCTCCCAGCGCATCCCTTTATCCTTGGACCCCCTATCGGCCTCCAAAGTTGGCCCACCAGATCTGCCTGCCCCTCCAGCCTCTGGTCCCCAGCTCTTGCTGAAGGGACTGGAGTGGAAAGGCCACAGGGCAGTGATTTGGAGCAGGGAGTTCTCTGGGGATAGACTGGACCCAGCCTTCCAGGGGTGCTATGCGGAAATCCATCCTGCATTCAGGACAGGGCAGGCAGAGACTTGTCTGGAACCTGCAAATGGACTCAGAGCAGACTGCCTTCCTGTAGAGCCTGGGAAGGGCCACAGCCCGCCCCTACTTGGCCACAGATGGGCCGTTGAGAGCTTCATCCCTCTCCCACTCTTTCCTCCCCTCTCCCACCCTCTCCCACCCCAGGGGGCTGCTAGCCTTGAGCCCGTTCTCCTATGGAATAAACAACGTGTCTTGAGAAACCACACATAGGCTTGTGACATCTATGAGTATGGGTTGGATGAAAGTATCTGTTCGGGCACAAGTTTTTGGGCACTCGTGGGCCTATGGGGTGTGGGAGGGGATGACTGCCATGGGGCTCATGGACCTCTCCTGGGCTCCTAGCTTCTTCTCTCTTAAGCCAGTTGGGACCTGCAGTCACATCCTCCTTTCTTCCCCTGCTGGGACCCTACCTGGGCCCAGAGCAACTGGAGCCAGGCTGACTGGACTGGCCCTTCTCCTTGGCAGGGACACCCTCATCTTGTGTTCCTTTTAGCCAACAAGCAGCACTTGAGTCTTGCTCTGTAGGGCAGGGGTTACCCTCCCCCACCCATCCCAATCCTACTGTCCTTCAGGGCCTTCTGCCTACAGGAAGCCCTCCCAAAGCGCCCCAGTCCCTGCCCAATGCCTGTTTAGACCCCGGCCTCTGCAGCTCTTTCTTAGCTACTGCCTTGCGCTGCCCCTGCTCACCTTGTGCTCCAGTTAAACCAGAAGCTCCCTGAGGGCAGGGGTTCCCCTGCTCGTACCACACAACCCCACCCCTGGCCCCCACCAAGCCTGAAAATTTTTTTTTAGTTTGACCTAGAGCCACACAAGAGAGAGATTCTTAACGAAGGAGGCTTTGTGGTGGTGAAGTTTGGGAGTCCTTAGTCAGGTGACCCCTCAGGGTCAGACTTTTCCACATATTATTAGTGCCCCCTAGGGTCCCAAGGTCCCCCACAAAATGGTCCCTTGGGCTCTACAAATTAGGACCCCAACCCTCCAGCTGCAGGAGTAACTGGGAGCAGCTCACAGCTGGGAGCTCAAGTGCAGTTAACCTCCATGTGCAAAGCCAGGCTGCACTCCGCTTCCTGTTGACCTTGGGGAGACCCCAAAACAGCTCTTTGCCAGTCACTTTCTGGATTCAGGAAGGAGAAATCCCTGCCCTCAGGGAGCTGCCAATTTAACTGGAGAACCAAGACCAGCAAGGGGACCAATGAGAGAAAAACCAGTTTTTACCAGCTTCCCCCTGGAACTCCAGGAGGGGCAGGCGGCTAAGGCAGGCACGGCCAGGGCTTCAAGTCAATTTCTCCATGGCTCAGTCGTGCCCACACAGAGCCAGGCTGGCCCAAGTGGGCTGGCCTGCTCCCTCCCTGGTCTCTGGGCTGCCAAAGGGAACTGGCTTGTTTTGGCATCTGCCTCCACTGAGCTGGAGCCCTTCCTCCTCTGCTACTTTGCATAGTGGCGCTAATTCTGTCCTCCTACCTCCACCAGGGACCCTGGGCAGCCAGGCTGGGGGTGGGGAGGAGTCTTCACTTCTCCCCCCAGCAGGGTCTCCCCCTGCTTGGGGCTGCCCTGAGTCGGGGAAGGCCTCGGTTTTACCAAAACACAACTCAATACCTTTGAATAACTGAGTTTTCCTAACTTTGAAGTGCTGTTGGCAGAGAATCACTTGAGCCCTGAGGCCTTCCTCCTCCACCAGACACCCCCAAAGGGTACCCGCCTTCACAGCTATGATGCAGGAGCCCTCCCTGGCCTACATTCCTATTGTAGGAGCTTACACGATGGATGTCATCCTGTCTGTCTCATGGGTCCCTGGCCCCCAGAACTGACTGAGGCAGTGGGAACAAAGTTGAATGATGCTGGTGGCAATGAGGAATGTCTCAGGTCTCAGCTGCTTTATCTGCAAAATGGGAATCATAAAATCTGTCTGAGGGAAGGGATGTTCAGCATCTCAGCCAGATGCCGTTTTTTAAAAAAATTATCATATAGTAAAATTGACTTTGTTTTCTTTTGGTGTACAGTTCAATGAATTTTAGCACGTGTACAGATTTGTATAACCACCACCACAATCAAGATACAGAACATGAACCGAAATCTTTTACTGGGCCCCCAAAATATTTATATATTGAGCACCTCTTAAATGCCAACAGAATTTTATTGAGCACCTCCATATTCATTTATATGATCTTGCCTAAGCGCCAGCATAAGCCTGGAAAGGAGTAGCATTATCCCCATTTTACACATGAGGAACTTGAAGCCTAGGGAGATTATCATAATTGGCCAAAATTCACACCCAGACCTTCTGATTCTAAATCCAGCATTCTTCCCTCAAAGGACTGTGCCGGACTGAGCTTTGAACCAGAGGAGGAACAAAAGAAGGAGGGGACAGGGGAGGATCCTGGGACAACTTTGCCATCTCCCAAGTTTTCGCACTGTTCACAAGTCCCAAAGCCCCAAAGACCCCACTCCTCCCTAATAGGGCCAATGTCGTCCCATGGGGCCAACCTTCCAGGAGTCCAGCTCTGGGCGGCTTCCCTGGCCTTCCCCTTCCCCGGAAGGCAACCCTGAAGTCCTTTGGTGGGCACATGCGCCACTGCCCACTGGGGGAATCCAGCCCAGTCCCTCGGGGCCCTGGTGTCAGCACAGGCTGGTTCCTCCTCCGTTCTAGCTTGACTTCCGGCCCTCTCACTGCAGGTGCTAGGGTGCTCTGACCCAAGAGTTTGGGTGTTTTTCCAGCAGAATTGGAGGTGAGAGAAAAACAAAACGCGGAAAGCTGCCACTGTTTGGGTGTTACTGGAAGATAGTGTTTGTCCCTGAGCAGGTGTCAGTCTGGCAGAGTCTTCTGCGAAGGGCCTCAAAGGCCACATGGGAACACGGGGTTTGGGATTCCCAGATTCTCTTCCCCGGTCCTCTGCTCTCTTTACCTGACCTCAGTAGATGGATTCAGAGCCCACATCTGTGAAAGTCTTGGATTTGTCTCTGCTCTCCACGTTGCGCCTGGTTATGGCACCCTCAGGACCTGCTGTTGACTCCTCTGCAAACGAAAAAAAAAAACAACGACAAACCTTCCACTTGGGACACCTCCCCTGTCCTCTCCAATCCAAAAGCGTTTACTTGGAAACTTACGCAACTCCACGGAGGACAAAAGTTAAGCATTAAATCCTGAATTCAGAGTGCAGTTTGTTAAAACACCTTTAGGCAGACCCTAATGCAATTTTCAAAGTAAAACAAACAAACAAAAAGACATCTTTTTCTCAAACCTGACACCACTTTCTCACACGACAGGATGGGGTGAGCCAGACACTGTGTGAGGTCCTGTTAGGGCTCAGGTCCTGCAAGTTGTGGGTCTGCATGGAACATGTGTGTGTACTCAGAATCAGCGTACACATACTGCCTTGTCTACTTTATTCATTTAAATTTTTTCATGTTTATTGCTCTGCATCACAAAATCCCGTACTTCTTCTTATTATTATTTTTGTACTTAATTTCAATTCTCTCTATTAAGTGGAGGACATTAAGACACAATGTGGCCTGCCTTGCCATTTCCGGCCAGGTGGATATTTGAGTTCTTTCCTTGGCGCTGCCCTTCCGTCCATTCAATCCACTCAGCAGATGCTTGTGGAGTTCCTGGGCCTGGCACTGTGCCAGCTGCCACTTCCGCCCATTCCCAAGGCTATTTTTCCACCTCTATATCTTAGCTATTCCTTCATGGCAGTTTTCACGATGGAAAATTTCTTTTAATATTTTACCGTTGTGTATTTATTTGTTTGCTATTATCTCTCTTCCCCGTAGACTGTGAGCGCCAGCAGGGAAAGGATCGTGTCTTTTGTTCATCTAGGCCCATCTGCCTGATACAATGTCCAGCATAGGGAAGGAGCAACAACAACTTGTTGAATCAGTTAATGGGTGAATAAGAGAAGGAGTGAATGACTGAATAGATGAAAGGCACGAATCCAGCCTCAAAGAGCTCACAGTCCCACAAGGGGAATAAGACGTCCACAAATAACCACAGACGAAGGTAAAAGGAGGCAGAGGTTATTTCCAGCTGAGGGCACTAATCAGAAAAGCACCCCTGACTTCCCACAGCTGCTGGACACACCTTAGTACCTATTACTTCTTCTTAAATGGGACTGTGTCCCTGGGGAATAATCCCCAAGGTGGAAATTCCTTAGTAGGTCCGGTTATGTAGACTGTTAGGTACTTCTAGATCGTTCAGAGATCTTAAACCAGTGTAAACAACCCCCCATCAACCACAGGACTACCTGCCTCCCTCGTCCCCCCACCCCTGAGCCCTCCAAGGCCCTCCCTCCATGCTTGAACCCTCTGGCAAACTCTAGGGTCCAACCAGATAAAGGAAGTGAAAACACAATGTACACTGAAACGTGCAACACAAATGTGAAGGATGATGTGACTTGGTTCATTAAATTGGGCTACATCAGGTTGTTTTTTCCTGCCTCTTTTCTTGGTGCCTGTGGACCTCATTCTGGACGGAAGCTCCTTGTGTTCAATACCCCCAGCTTCACTGAACATCTTCTGAGTGGGGACTTGATCGCTGCCCTGCTAGCTTTGCATGAGGAAAGTTCTGTCCATGCCCAGCAGCGCCACTGTCTTTCCCAGATGAGGCTTCTAAAGAGCTTGGCATTTGGGAAGACCTGGGCCTTGAGCAGCCATCACATAGGAGCTGAGAGACTCTGGGCAAACTACTTTGTGTCTTTGATCCTGAATGTCCTCTTATGAATGGGCTTCACACCTCCTATCACCCAGTAATACAGTGCCTGGCACGTGGTGTGTATTCACAAATGTTGATCTCCTTCCCCACCTCTCCTGGAGAAGCCCTTGGGAATCCTCATATAGTATTCTCTAAAGATTTTGACCCAGTGTGCTGAGTGATCAACTTGTGTTGGAAGCAAAGAAGAGGTGGAGTATGTCCGGGGTGCAATCCCAGCCTCTAGCCTCAAGGAAGACAGGACAGAGCTAGTGGTGGGAAGTGTGGTCTCAAGTGACCACAGTGGGGGCAGAAAGAGCTGCCACCAGTCCCTCTTAGGCTGTCCCTAAAACCAGGGCGAGTATGACTGTAAATAATGAGATGGCCCCAAACTCTACGGAGTTGACCCTCAGAGGTGCTCTTGAAGCTTGAAAGAGGCCACTCTCGGATCAAGAGCAGATCTGTAAGTTTCCACAACACAGAGAACCCCAGAGATGGTCAAGTCCAGAAATATGAAGGGC